GAGGTAGGCAATAATGCTTTTCCCAATTATCCGAATGATTCACGATGCAGCAAACAAACAGTACTGGCCCCATAGTAGGCAGTGTCTGGTCTTCAGAAAGATGCCAAGAGAATCTCACCATTCTTCCCTCCATTGTATCCTTATTCCGCAGCCCTGAACCTAGACTTTGTGGCTCACCACAGGCTTTTGCCTCTCTGCCTCTGGCCAGGTCTCTGTTCTTGTACTTCTGAGTATCTGTGTGTGATGCTGTATGCTTGTTCTGCTACGTTGAAGGGCTGCTGTGAGGTCTCAGCGATATACTCAGTAGGGTTCTGACCAATGATAGGTGACTTTGATCCTGCATATGTCTGAGTGTGCATAAATGCACACCTACAGTAGCAAGGTCTAGCAGTGCCTTCTCGTTTTGCATTGTGCTACCAAGAGTTTAACACATGATCCTTGGCATAGCAAGAGCAAGCAGCAGACCTGTGTCATCTGACTGTTCCCTGAACGAGGGGATCCTGTCTGGTCTTTTCTCTCAAGAAGTTCCTAGCTGGGGACACATAGTTAACATGCATTCTGGCTATAATCAATTCTTTAAGAGGGCAAGAATCTCTCTCTCTCTCTCTCTCTCTCTCTCTCTCTCTCTCTCTCTCTCTCTCCTCTCCACCACCGTACCATGAACTATTTCTCCTCTGCCATGTGCAGCCCTCCTCTGCCATGCCATCCTGTCTTGAAACCAGCAACAATGGACTGAAACCACCACAAACTGTGAGCTAAAACCTCTCCTCTTTTGACTTGCACGTGTTGAGTATTTTGTCCCAAAAACGAGGAAGGTAATTAAGCCAGAAGGTCTCACTGAACAGACTTGAAGAATGTGATGAACAGGACCTTGGGCTACCTACCTAGAGATAATAAGTACAATGGCCCAGAAGCAGACATGCACCGAAAGTGCTGGATGAACCAAGGAGATCAGAACAGCCTCTGTGTGATACGTGAGAGGATTCATCTGCATAGAAGCTCTTGGGTTTGAGGACGAGACAAGCAGAGACATCTTCAGAGGAGCAGACTGACTCACTGTATGAGAGAACAGCTCGGAGAGAACTCAGTGGATACATCCACATATCTCCATAGATCTGAAGAGCTGGCACAGAGGAAAAGATTACATTTGTGCTCTGTGGCTGTAAAGGACAGATTCAGCCTCCTAACGTGGAGGTTGCAGGAATAATGTTTTCACAAAATACAATCTCCTCTGTTCAAAACTAGATGAAGTTCCCCTAAGACATAGCTCTCTGTCAAAGATGTTTTCTAGCAGAAATTCCACAGCCGTTTCCAGGAAACTAGGGAGAATTCCACTTTAGACTCTTTCTCAGACCTGAGATTGTATTAACCAATAATGGCAGAGTGAAAACTGACTGAGAGAAATGCCGTCTATGAAGAATCAGCAGGAAATGGGAAAGTTAAAAGATAATGACAAAACACACAAATTTACGTCTGCTTGTATGTGTTTGGCCAAGAATAATGACTGGCCACCTCATCCAGCATAGACTTTGATTGGTTGACTTGATAGAAAAATTTTAGGTCTATTGTAAAAATAGAGACTTAAAGATTTCTAAATAAGTAATGGATAATTTGGCAAGTAGGAGTAGCTTTTTAAAAAAAAAGGACAAAAGGACCAAAGAAGCTGAGCATGGTGGTGCATGACTGTAATCCTAGCACTTAGGAGACTGAGGCAGGAGGATTGCTGTGAATTCAAGGCCAGCCTAGGGAACATAAGTGAGTTCAAGACCAATGTACACTACATAGTGAGACCCTGTCTCAAACAAACCGACAAACAAACAAAAATGGAACAAAAAGACCAGTGATGGCTATGAAATTTCAAAGAAAAATAAAAATTATAAGATGGGATTGAAAGGTACATAGGGCTTTGAATTTATAGAGAGTTTAGAGGCAAAGGGAGCACTATTAGCAAAGGCAAGAAAGTTGGAAACTTGTGTCTAAGTGAGTGTGTGTATATTGCCTTTTCTTTCCATCATGGTATGTCCAGGGGAAGAGAGGCCTGGGTCAGATTATTCCATCCCTAACTTGCTAACTCAGATTCCATGCAGGTGACAGTATGCCCTGGGAAGCTAAATTCCTGAGTTCCAGTCCCATCTCTGTGCATACTACCCGTGTGAGCTGGAGCAAATCTCTTCTTTGGTCTGTCTTCATGTGTTCAAGGAGGACCAAGTGATTCCTCAGGTCCTGCAGCTCTGACACCCTTGCATACCTGATGTCATCTTTTCCGCTTGTGGTTTTAATTAGCACCTCCTACCCTGGTAGCTCCAGACCTCCCATGAAGAAACAGGACACAGACTGTTCCCCAAATCCATTCTTTTCCTGGAGTTCAGCCTGCAACCAGGAAATGGGGAAGCAGGATTTCCTCTGAGGATGTTCTCTGTGACCCAGACAGTTGGGGTTAGGGGAGTGAAAGGAAGAGATAGGGAGCATCTCCTAGACCTCCACAGGCCACCAACCTTTTCACAGGTTTTATGCTTTTGTTCCATTCAGACTCGAGCTGCTTAAAAGCAGGGAATATATAATTCAGAGCTGGAGAAAGACATGTTGGTATTCTTTCAAACAGATAGGATTGATCACCCAACAGTTCGGTGATAAGAATGGAATTCTTTCTTTTTCTTTTCTTTACCGGTACCAGGGATCGAACTCACGACTGCGTGCTTCCAAGGCAGGCACTTAAGCTGCTGAGCTAAACCCCCAGCCCCCATCTCTTTCTTTTCCAATTAAGTATGCTAAATGTTATTTTAAAAAGTAGGGAAGTATTTTCTTCACCTATATCTGTAGAAATCCCTCAAGATGTTTCAAGTCCCAACTCTAAAGCTCTCTCTGGTAGCCTTTCTTTCCTCTAGACTTTCACATCTTTTTTGTTGCCACTAATGTGGATTTTTTTCTTCTTTTCCGGTACCAGGAATTGAACTCAAGACCTTGCACTCGCCAGGCAGTCACTTATACCACTGAGCTAAACCCCCGGTCCCTTGGATTTTTTTAAAAAATTGTACTAGACATTGAATCCAGGGCCTTATGTACGCTCAACAAGTACTCTGTCATTGAACTATACTCCAGCACCTTCATATTTCTGGAATTATCAATTCATGCAATTCAATGTCAGAGATGCACACCTCAAAGCTGGGGAATCAGCCAGGTACCGTGACACACTCTTATCATCCCAGGTACTTGGGAAGCCGAGGCAAGAAAACTGCACGTCTGAGATAGACTTGGGCAATTTAGTGAAACTGTCTCAAAGTAAAAAAGGGCTGGGATTCAGTTCAGTGGGAGAGCATCTCTGGCTTCAGTCCCAGTACTGCAAAACCAAACCAAGTCAACAAAAAGCCAAATTTGGGAAGCTAAAGATGGGATTTGTCCTCTGCCCCAGAGGTTAGGATAGAACTATAACAGACTCCTAATTTAGTATTATTCTTGCTTTCTCTCTTACCCTTGGCCCCCTGCTCCAAACTCCCTGCCAGTGCTCTATGCCTGTGCACATCTCCATACTTGCACAAAGGTAGTTCCCTCTTCAGAAAACACCCCCTCCTTCTCTTTCCTATCACTCTTTATGCTGGAAAAATATCACCATCCTTTAGGAACATTCTTACAATAACTGTTCTCCCAGCTTTTATTATATTCTCACATGGCTTATATCAGCACTGACTGTTATTGCTACAGCATGTGCCTCCCTCATTAGAGTTCCTATAAGGTACGGTCATCTTGTCCATTTATGCTCAGTGTCCAGCCCAGTGCCCAGCAGGATCAATGAGATACCTCAATAACTAAGTGTAAGAAGGGTGCTGGTGTGGAGGGAACCGAGACAGTGACCACTACCAGGAGAGGTTGTGGAGGGACACGAGGCTGGTGTCTTGGTTGTTAATTATGTGTGTGACTTTGCTCCAACTTTGTGTTTCATCTTCTGTAAAGAGGAGTTAATTATGTCTGACCTACATATGGCAATAGAGTTTTTGAAAAGTGTGAAGCAATCTGCAAATGCAGAGCATTACTGTGAGATGTATAAAGGTCTCTGTTAGCCTAGGGGGCTAGAAAACATCCTGCCCTTGTGAGACATTCCTAGAACAGGACAGAAACTTTGCTCCTCTAATTTTCAGGAGCTTAGGGTAGATTCGGCACCAGCTTGCTGCTCTGTAGTCCCTGATGTGAACACTTTATTCTTAACAGAGCTGAGGTTGCCTCCTTCAGGCTGCAGGTGTAAATAAGAGATCTCTGCTCTTGGTTGGAAGACTAGAGATTCCTTCCTGAAGGAAAAGACCAAGGCAGCCAGGACAGTGCAGTAAAGACAGCAGACTAGTATTTGAAATCATCCTTTCGGTTCCAGCTGCATTTCTTTCAGGAAGCTCTTCCTGAATCCCTCCAGCCTTAGAGACCTGCTTAGTGGCTCAACACTGGAGTTATATTTGAACTTGAATCTCTAGAAACAACTTATGTGGGTAAATTTCTTCCTTAAGGCTGGTTCCTCATCAGTAAGGATATCACCAGCAGCCAGCCAAGGGGCTTAAGGGAACTACAGTGTGTAAAATGCTCTGCATCTCAAGTCCTAAAAAGATATGAGCCATCGTGATTACACTGCTATGGTTCCTTAGCCTCCGGATCACTCATTCGGGGACTCTTCATTTTACACCCTCAGACCAGTTGTAACTCTTCTCTAGACTCTTCAAAACCTTTCCAAGGCTTATCTAACATTCCTACATTCACTTTTGGGGATCAGCACAAGGCAGAGCAAGGAAGAGGCCAAAAACATGGCGCAATGTTCAACTGATCACCAAAACTCTTCAAAGTTGAGTCAGACATGAAAAAGGGCGTGGTTGTCAAGTGACCAGAACCCAGACTAACGGTTTTATTTCCCAGAAGTTGGATAATAGAAGCTTATCATTCCCTATTCCACTTGAAGTAGTATTCATGCATTTTATAAACAGTATCCCATGGGAATGGATGACAGAAACTCAGAGAAATGTCACTTGAGAGGCAAAGATTTCTTTAATCCAATTTTCCCAGTACTCATGCTTTTCCCCAAAGATGCCTAAAAGCTAGCAGAGCAACTAACTTCTCACAGTAAAACACTATTCTTAGAGAACTTTCTAAGTAGGTTTTATATTGATGTTCCCCTTTCTCTTAACAGACATGTTTTGTTAACCTGCAATCTAAATCCAGTCTCCAAAACTGCTTTAATGACTCATCAGAGGCCTTAGATGTGGTAACAAGTGGACAAAGTCTTGTTTTTGCTTTCCTTTTTTTGGTACCAGGGATCAAACTCATGACCTTGCACTTGCCAGGCAGGCGCTTAACCCAACTGAGCTAATTGCCCAGCTCCTAACAAGTGATTAGATAAAACCGTGCCTAAAATGTCTCAGGTTTAGTTCTTATTGCTTAGGTACAGCTTCTTGATTAGTATAAAACTTACAGGGTTCCTAGCAATGAACACAATCAATGAAGCAATCAATCTACTAACATTCTCTGTTTTTTCAATGATGTACATGGGAGGCTGGTTAAAAACAGCACACTTGAAAGCAGTATCAACAATTCCATTCTTTGTTTTACTCCCATAAAACATGTAATTTTTACACTATTATTAAAGTAACTAAAGCTATAAAAAATGCAAATTAAAACATAGATGAAGACATCACCATTGCCATTTACATGACTTGCTTTTACAAAACTTAAAAGACCAACAATGTAGGAAAATATGCACTAATTGATCCCTGGCCCCATATTACTATGTATGAGCTTGCTAACTATCAATTGTTTCATCATGTTGTTGTCTCATAAAAGCCACAGCAACACTGGAGATTTAGAGGTCTATTTCTTTTCATTTACACATGAAACTTCAACACCTGGCAATCACATATTAACTTTTACCCCAAAAATTTATTATCTCTGAAATGAATGAAAGTTTTTTCACTTATATTTAAAAAAATAACAATTTGGAAGATTTGTAAGGTGGTGGGAAGAGAATTACTGATACAGCCAGCAGTTGGAGGAATCTCAGAACATTATGCTCAGTGAAAAGCCAGCTTCAAAAAGTTATATACTGTATAGCTCTGTGTATATAACATTCTCAAAATGAAAAACCTTTAGAAAAGCAGAACAGATCATTGGTTGTCAAAATAAAGGCTGGTGAAAGGGTGTTTCAAAAGGGTAGCAATAGTTTCTATGAATCTATAAGTTATAGTTAATAGAGCTGTACACTAAACAGCCAGTGAGTGAATGTGTATAAACTTGTGGGTTGGAGGTATAGCTCAGTGTATAACATATGTTTAGCACACACAAGAAGCTGGGTTTGATCCACAGCACCCCATCTCATCCCCCAACTTAATGAAATTTGACAGGTCTGTGGTTTAGTTATGAGTATTGAACCCAGTGCCAGTGTCTTGGTTTTGGTAGTTTACTATGATTGTGTAAGATGATACTGTGGTGGGAAGCAGTGGGGAAAGCATATACCTATTTTATTTTTGTATCTTTGAAGTGAAAAAAAGTAGGAAAGAATAAACTATTAGTAGAAGACAAAGGAAAACAGTCTATACATTTTTAGGTCCTATTAAAAATATTGATATCTGAAAATCACAGTCTACAAAACACTGATACTTAATAATCCTATAGCTAGTGCTATATATTAAAGCTACATAAACATCAACCCAACAAATTGTAAAAATCTTCAAGAATTTTCATCTTAATTAAAAGGAGCTATATTTTATTGTATAAAATATCTTGAGTTATTTTAAAAAACAACTTTCTCTTACACTCAAGAAAGGCTGGTTTTGTAATTCAGTTTGAGTCACAATAGCTCTAGGTCCTTTTGCTGACACTGGGTAGATGAAGAAATGCAACGTGTTAAACACATGGACTTTGTGAAATACGTAGACTAAAACAGCAGTTCGTAGTTAGTTTGATCAGTGTCTTTACCTAAATTTGTTGAAAGAACTAATCTTCCTTTTTTCTTAAGGTTCAGTGATACTGAAAATCTGGTTGAATAAGGTGGCTTTCTCACTAGCCCACCAGCTTGCAGACAAGACACTATTGTAGCTCTTTGTAACTACCTGATACTCTTAACTAAACCTGATACAAACAAGCAGACTGACTCCCAAAAAGGCTCCAGGTTCTTTAAGTACCTTCAGGATACAACCAGACCTATATCAGAAAGGAGGAATTTAAGGCTTAAAATAATTTGGGCAACTGTCTGAGACGCTTTACATCTAAAAAGGGGCCTACTGAGTCCATACTATTCATTTGCTTTAATGTTTCAGAAGGCTGTAAACCTTCAGGAAAGACTGGATTGTCCCTTTCATTTTCTTTCTCAGGATGTTGAGTAAACTCTGCTTTTCCAGTTCGGAGGTTCACTGCAGGACTTGGTTTAAGGTTCTTTAATAAAGTTGGATTTTCATTCAACCCCTGTGTTGCTTTTGACTGCACAACTTTGTTTGTAATATTTCTCAATGCTGGCATCTCTGAGTGTGTGTTCACGGATTCACGCTTATAACCATTACTTATTTCACAGGTATTCCTAGAAGGCTCTTTCTGACAACCAAGTTGTGCAGATACAGGTGCAGAGTTTTGATTCAACAAATGGTCACACTTGCTGTCTTTATCTGTATGGTTAGGAGCCTCCTCTTCATCCTCACTGTTGTCACTGCTTTGTATGAGTCCGTATCTCTGCATGTATTTTTTAGTTGCAAATGACATGTTGCTTGGTGAAATCAAGTTAAGCCCCATTGTGCTTCTGTCTGTATTAATATGCAGAAGGCTAAAAGATGAGTCACTGTTATTTTGGTTTGATCGAGTGAGAGAGAGTTGTGACAGCTGATTTTCATTTAAATATTTCAGAGCTATAGCATTTGCCTCCATGCTCAAATCCACACCAGTAGGGCTTAAACCACTCATACCAACATTTGCAAATGACATGTAGTTTAATCCAGAGATCACAGCTTCTGGGCTGATGCATGCCAACACACTGAAAGACACAAAAGAGTAAACCAACATTTACCTTAAGTAACAGCTTCATTCTAAATGTGTTCCGGTCTCTGGAAATAACAAAGGATTTCAGCCTTATGGTCGGTCCTGTGCCTTTTTATTTGAGTAGTAGATATTATCTACTACTCAGATATTCAAGGGATACATATGATAACCTAGAAGCTAATTCATGATCCACAAATTGAAAGTGGAACACAATTGATTATTTTAAATTTATGTATCAGTCATGCTTTTAAGAAAAAAGCAAGCTTCAAGTGGAGGAGTCTTTCAATACTACTGTATCATTTAATTTTCAATTATTAACCCCAATAGCATGAGATCAGTTAATATTCAATGTAAAGAAAAAAGTAAAATCAAACACAAAACACACCTAACATAAAGTTAGCCCATACAATTAAATTGTCCAAAGCTGAAGAAATTTTATTCACAATTAATGAAATAACTAGTTCCTGTATACAAATTTGCTTATACACATACATTTCTTTTGTTTTGTTTTTTGGAGATAGGGTTTCACTATATAGGTCAGGCGGGGATTGAATTTACAGCAGATCTTCCTGCCTCATCCTCTTAAATGCTGGAATTACCGGAGTGTGGTGCCAGATCTGGCACACTTTTTTTTTTTTAAAAGATGGGGGCTCAGTGTGCAGTCTAGTCCAGGCTTAAATATGGTATGTAGCCCAGGCTGGCCTCCAACTTGCACTCTCCTGCCTCTGCATTCTGTAGACTGGTATTACAGGTATGAACTACCACACTCAGCTAATTAGACGTACTCCTCAACTCCCTTTTTGTTAATGTTAATTGCCTTTTGTTAATGTGATTTGCTTTTTCTTAATATCACATATAAAACATAATTTGTTAATGAGGCCTTACATGTACCAGAAAATTTGCATGCATTCTTATTTACTGCTTATAGCAATCTTTCTCAGGGAGGTATTCTGTATCTATTTAAATTTCTCCCCGGTACCAATAAGAAGAAAAAAGACCAAAAAAAAAAAAAAATTTTTTCATTCTCCACTTCAGCTCCTTATATTTTTTCTCTCCTCCTTTTCTGTTTTTTTCCTTAGCATATATTACTATCTCAACACATATGTCTTATTTTACTGTCTGGTTCCCTCATGAGAGCTAAAAAGGGCAACATTTGAGACTGGTTTTTTTCCTCACTGGAATATTGTCAGTTCTTAGAACAGACCTGGCACAAAACAGGCCCCCATTATTTACTGAAGGAATAATAGGAGGTACTATTATTACCTTTATTTCCAGTTGAAGAAACTGAAGAATAGATTTTAACCAATTTCTTCAAAGCTGAACAGTTGGTAAGTAGAAAGTTGAGGCTGAAACCCATGTCTAACATACACTGGGGCTCTGTAACCACTGACTTACTACTGTGTGTTTAGCATTGTGCATCTGCCACCAGGGTCCTTTGTTCACTGCTTGGTATGGTAAACATATTCTAGTCAACTAATATGCTATGACTCTTCATATCATCACAAGAAGAAATTCAGCTGTTTTATGTATAACAGTCGTGCTTACATACACAGCCCAACAAAAAACAAATAATAAGGGCTGGGGATAAAGCTCACGGCATAAGCCCCTGCCTGGCAAAAGCAAGGTCTTGGGTTTGATTCTTGGTATATAAACAAACAAACAAACAGCAACCAGGCATTTTCTTTCTTATAAAGTACCTAGAATTTGGAAAAAGCCATTTCCAACTATTAATATTCCCCCAAATTAGTGACATCTAATCAGTAAACAATAAACTGTGTGCTCAATAATACTGTTCTTTTTTAACTAGCTTGGAATCCTCCTCCATTAGTACATAATGCTTCTGTAGACAGCAAGTTGGAAGAAAAGCTACCAATTTAGCTAGATACTATTTTTAAGATATATTCAGGGCTAATGTCTTCTAAATATAGTCTTTTTCTACTTTCTTTGGCTTCTTCCACAAAATCATAAGCAATACGTATATTAAACCAGAAACCTACACAGGTTAAAATACATATACATGTCATGTCTGTTGATACTAAAGTAATTAATCTGGTAAAATAAAAGCTTTCTCAAAATGTCAAATGTTTAAAAAAAGTAGGCCTGGGGCTGGAGGTTTAGCTCAGCGGCATAAGTGCGCCTGCCTTGCAAGCAGGCAGTCGTGAGTTCCATCCCCGGTACCGATAAAAGGGAAAAAGACAAAAAAAAAAGTAGGCTTAATTTTTAATTTGATCTCTGGAGAAAGGTTAATGGACTGAATGAAGCAGTCAATATCAGTTTAGAAGGTTCTTTTAACCTTCTATATCCTTAGTATACCAAAAGTCTGTAAGGCTACTGTTTAGAATGTACAACACATTTTTCTAAAGAAACAGTGTCACAAACTATAGATTTGGTACCAGGAGTAATCCTTGTAATCCATACCTGTAGGTGTTAAAAAGATAATAAAAGGTCTTGAATATAGTAGGTTGAGTACAGCTACTTTTAAATTGAGGAGTCTGGGACACAATTACTTTGAAAGCAAAACAAACCAGTAATATTCAGAGCCAAAGCATATAAACACTAAGGTAATTAAAATAAAAAGCAAGCAGAGACTATTCCACTAGTCAAATCCTGTAAGTCTCCAGCACAAATATACTACGTTACAGTCTTGTCAGATGTACAGCCATGAAAAAATGATGAAAATACATAAGTTTAAGTAAGATTTAGATGCCAAAAATTGAGGAAAGCTCCCAAATTATTCCACCTGTTTATTTTATTTATTGGGACTGGGGATTGAACTCACGACGGCACGCTTGCCAGGCAGGCGCTTATGCCACTGTAAATCCTCAGCCTATTCCACCTATTTAAAGATGAAGGTTTTGGATTGGGACTAGTTATTGCCTACACATCTATACAGGTTTTCTCTGTGATAAAAAGACACCCAGGTAGCAAAGTGAAGAAACAAATAGAGGGCTTTTTAGGATCTGTTTTTTTGGTCTTTTTCCTTTTTATTGGTACCGGGTATCGAACTCACGACTGCCTGCTTGCAAGGCAGGCGCTTATGCCGCTGAGCTAAATCCCCAGCCCCTTTAGGATCTGTTTTGAAGTCAAGAGGGTCACTCAAGTTGAAAGCACCTTGTAGGGGCTGCTGCCAGACCTCACCCATGACCGCTTACCTCCTGCATCGTTTCTAGGTCTCTCTGCGGTCCTCTTCCCTGCCTTCCTACCTTTGGGCTTTTTAATCTATGCAGTGAAGTTCTGAGGTAGCAAAGCAGAAAGGCAGTCTTCCTTCCACTGCCTCAGCCACTCTGCTGACCACAGAACGTGCTCGCAGATGAGAAAACAAATGCAAAGTAATTTTTTATATAGAAACAATGACAGAAGAGTGCTGTTTTTTAGATCTAGAGGAACAGGATAGATTACAAGGATTACTATAGGGCAACCCACTTGGGACCCCTTCTGTCTCTCAGTCAGAAGCTTTCTTTCTCTCAATAAATATTAGCAACAACAAAAACACCAAGGATTACTTTACTGGCACCTAATTTATAATTTGTAACATTTTCTATAGAAAAATGTGGCTGGGCACAGTGATGTATGTACAGTGGTGTAATTCCAGCATTTGGGAGGCTGAGGCAAGAGAATCACTGTGAGTTTGAGGCTGGCCTGGGCAACAAAGTGAGTTCAAGGCCTGCTTGAACTGTACAGTGAAAACCTGTCTCAAAAAGACTAGAAAAATTTTTAAAAAGTGTCATACATTCTAAACAACAGTCCTATGAACTTTTTGCATATTAATTATATCATACCTATATGTATAAAAAAAGATAATACAAAGTCACATATAGTAAGTTCTACAAGATACAGAAAATGAATGAGGTACATGTTATATGCCTGCAATTCTAGCACTTGGAGGCTGAGGCAGGAGGATCACTCTGAGTTCAAGGCTGCCTGGGCCACATAGTGAGATTAAGGTCAGCCTGAACTATACAGTGAGACCCTGTCTCAAAAGAACAAAACAAAACATTGTAAGCTTCTATGATGACCTGAGATTTCATTCATAGCAAATAACTCAGTGAATCTACTTAGCAGCAGAGATAAGAATTCAGAATTATATTTTGCTCTCTTTATCTGTGGATTCCACAGATCTAGATTCAACCAATAACAGACTGAAAATATTTGAAGGGAAAAGAAATTGTATCAGAAATATATACAATTTGCTTTGGCTCATTATTTCTCAGGTAATACAGTGTAAGAGCTATTTACATAGCATTTATAGGTATTGTAAGTAATCTAGAGATATTTAAGTATATGGGAAGGTATGTGTAGGTTATATGCAAACACTATTTTATATAAGGAACTTGAACATCTGTGAATTCTGGCAGCCTTGAGGGATCCTGGAACCATCCAGGATGGTTACCATTATGCTTGGTAAGTGATGACTATGCATAAAATTTACAATCTTGTTGGAAAGGTTGTCATGATCACATGCTTTAGTTTCTCAGGAGCAAGGTTATTTTGAGAGACTAAAAAAAAAAAAAAAATCAATATTCTAAGGGGTCCAGGAAATCTTAACAAAAGAGATGACATCTGAGTTCAGATTTGAACGCTGAGCGCTTGGAGGTACACTCCTGTAATCCCAGAACTCTAGGAAACTGAACCAGGAGAACTGCAAATTTGAGCCTGGGCAATTTAGCAAAACTTTTGTTACAAAATAAAAAATAAGAAGGAAAAGAAAAGAAAAGAAATAAGATAAAAAGATTCTGGACAGTAGAGAAAAAAACAAAAACAGCCAGCAGTAGCCATGCAAGGCCAGGAAGAGAAATAAGAAGCTAATTTGCTCTTCCTGTGAGCCAGCTGGTATGCAGGCTGGGAGGCAATAAAGGCCCCACTACACACATGGTAGGCATCTGGCTGATTTGGAGGATCACAGACAGAGTGCTAGCAGCTAAGGTACAAAAACGACTTAATTCTTGTATTGTTTGATTGACTTTGCAGGCCTAAAGCTGGCAGTCTGAATATCTATTAAGAGGGTAACAATATGCAACATAGCAACTATGGGGGATTTCCTTGTGTCTTGGTTTTGAAATCCAATACTGTTCTGTTTCATTTTGTTCCATGTTATTGTTTTGTTTTCTTCAATGTCCTGTTTTGATTGGTTTTATTCTGTTTTGTTTTGCTTGATTTTATTATGTTTGATGTAATGGGCAGCAATTTTGAAGACAACAAGAGGCATTACGGTAACTATGGTTGATTTCCAGTTATCCTGTTTTGAGGTCCTGTATCATTTTCACTGTTTTGATTGGCTTTATTCTTTTTAAAAGAAAAAGAAAAAGAAAAAAAAAACCCCAAAATAAAAACAGAAGCAATGGCAAGGAACCTTGCAAATACCAATGATGGGTACAAGCTGAACTTGGCAGAAGAGTATATTAAAAACTAAATTCAAGAAAAATTGTGAAACAGTCTACTAGCTGGATTATTTTAAGGGTTAAGTAAAACAATTCTGCATAAAACTACAATAATTCTTGACATACAAGCACTCAATAAATGGTTTCTGTTAAAATTACTTAAGAAAAAGACTGACAGAAAATATAAAAGCAAAAATTTAATAGTTGAGTTTGATTGGTAGGAATATAGTTTTCTTGTCAATTCTAAATTTTCCATTTTCAAACTAAGTTTATATTACTTAGTAGAAACAAAACAAATATCAAACTATTTCCAAAGCACTATAATATTTTATACAATAGTTTATATTGTATAAAATTTAAAAAACTATTCAAAAGACACAGAAAAATGTACTTAATATATTGTTTACACTGTATATTCTGAAACTGTTTCATTTTCATTTTGGCTTTATTTTGTTTTTGGGACAATGTCTTAGTATGTAGTTCAGGCTGGCCTTGAACTCATAGTGATCTTCCTGCCTCAGTTTCCTGAGTTGTGCACCCAGCTTTTCTTATTTTTTGAGGAAACTTATCTTACATGGAATTAAAATTCTGTCTATATGAATTTTTTATCTCAATCATAAATAAAGGACTTACCTATTTCATATTAAGAAACAAACAAAATAATAAAATAATTGTTTCTTAAAAAGCTAATTTTCTTTGAATATTATTAGTTCAAATGCCATTTTTTTCACTTTCTGAAAGTTTAATAATGAAAATGTATTATTTTTATAGTATAATTTATAATATACACTTTTATTTAAATTGGGGCAAAACAATCTTAACACAATTTGGCTACCCTGGGGGGAGGGGGAGCAGGAAAGAGTGGGAAATGGGGAGGAACTAAGAGAAATAGCTCTGAAGGAGTCAGAGTGAGGAATTTGGGGTGTGTGTGGGGGTACTTTTGCAGTTTAAATTTTATTTTGAGAGCCTCAAACCCGCAATCCTCCTATCTCAGCCTCCAAATTAGCTGGGATTACAAGCAAGTGCTACCACGCCCAGCTGATTTGTTTTTTAAACTGGGAAATTTTACTAGTTTTGTCACTAACAAAAAGTAATTAACAGAATATGTTATCCTTAATAATTCCAATTATGTATTACAAACATGTACTAATAATTTTATTTAAAAAACCAGACAAATTATGTGTTTACATAATACCAGATATTATGCTCCAGTGAACAAGGATATATTGAGGTTATCTTTGATAAAGAGGAATCTTAATAGCAGGACGTGTCAGTCAGACACTTTGGGAGAAAGACATGCTTTTGCACAGGAACTATAAATGCAGTAGCTACGGTATCACTCTGTTGGTCCAGGAAGCCTTCAGATAGCGCCCCAAAACCCCCACATCTCACAGTATTTCTCAAATTACTTATGCAGCATAACTTTTCCTCTGGCTAAAATAAAGACTCTAAAACCTAAAGATGAATTGAGCTACAAACTTACACCTTTTCACATGAGATTGCTGTCATACATCTAAAACTATACAGAATGTAATAGATACAATCAATATAAAACTATCTTTTAAAATAAATTTTAAAAAGTTACCTGGCATGATCTACTTTATGGGCATTTTTCTTCACTTTGGTAGGAGAATCAATTTTCACTCCCAGGCTTCTTAGTTGCTTAAGTGTTGCATTAAGAACACAATCTTTCTCCACCAGTCCAGGATTTGAGTTTTTTTTCTTTGTATGGTAAGCATTTTGGGTTCTGGTACATTCATGGCTGATAACTACTGCTTTGGTAGATGGTTGTTCAGTTTCCTTCAAAGAGTTACTTAATAGCTGGTTCACTTGACCCTGATGAAAAAAGAAACCATATTTAAAAATCACCAGGAATAGCTTTATTATCTTGTCAAACTCCACAAAATATCCAATAACATCTCCAAGTATTATGGGACACACACATTATATATAGAGATATATATCTCCTATCCTAATGATTTCATCAGACCCTACAGGAAACAGATCAATTTTTTATTCAGAATCTATTTATTTAAAACTCAATATATAAAAAATTATATGAGTAATCTTCCAAGGCTTCTCAAAGATTTATTCCAAATTCTGTACAAACAAAAGTTTTAATCATGGTTTCATTTCAAAATGGCAATATGTTTCAGAGTTATACATTAGCCTTTTATGTTAAGTTCAGAATTAGTTTTTTTCCTTTTTCACTTTCTGAAAACAAGAATGACCTGTGACCCCCACTGTGCCTTTCTGACATTGGAGCATGCAGGGCTGGCTGCACCAGACTAGGTCCAAGCAGGCAAATAACAAACACATTCACTGATGAATACACAGGCCCTTGCTGCAACACGTTTAATTAGCCATCTAACAAAAGCAAAATCAATGTTACAAGTCTATAATTTGGATGGAAGTAAAGTCATTTCAACCTTTAAGTCTCAGTTCATGTTCTAACCTACATATCCCGAGAACATTAGATCCTTCAACTAGAAGTACTCCTACTTGTTCTATACTCTGTTTTGCACACTTCTCAGTCTCTTGTGTAATTGTCACTGGTGTCCTTGTGTTACTATTTCCACTATGTTCTTAAAGACATAAGATGATCATATTCTTCTTTATACTTCATTTTACTCTCTTTCTTAGGCTCAGTTTAATAGCTAATAAACATCTGCTTACCTGAACTAAAATCAGTAAATGCTACCATAAACATTCTACTACTTTTCAATGTTCAAATCTTTCAAAATCTTTCTCCCACTCCCTGCAATAACTTTAGTATGAATTTAATATAAAATCAAGATATATTTTTAAAATATCTGGTTTTTTTTCCTGGTTAAGTACCTGGTGACTGGAACATACAGTAAATTATTGGTGCATATAGTAAATTACTAAATTTGACTTACATGAAAAGCTAAAATAAATAAATGATATACTATTAGTGAGGCAAGTCTTTTTATTTCAAGTTCCCAAACATTTTAAATCTAGGAAAACTTTAGCACTTCTTATATTACAGAACCATAGTATAAAAGGTAAAATGCCCTATATTTCCTTACCAGTAAATCCTGGTAAAGTTTCTGGCTGTCTGGTGGTTGAGGAGGTGAGGACTGTATTAAGTGCTCAAGCTTTGGTTCTCCTGATGGCTCAGTGTCGCTGCTGGCGCCCTCTGATGGCCCAGGCTGTAAGCACATGCTCACGCTCTCTGCCAGCACAGTGCTTGGAAAGAACACAGGTGTATTGGGTTCTTTTCTCCCATCCGAAGAGCTGCTTGAAAACATAATGTAAATAGATAGTTAGCAGGTACTATTAAAACACACACACATGCATGCATTTTTTTGAGGTCTTGCTCAAGTCTTGTTATCCAGGTGGCCTCAAATTTTTGATCCTCCTGTCTCAGTCTTCTTGTAGCTAGGGTTAGTCACACACCACACCTGGAACCTAACTATATACTTGAAATGTATTAATTTGGCAGAAAGAGACCAGACTTGAGCAGCATCTGGTTTATATTTTCAGCTCTTAGTGATGTATATAAACATACTTTTTTGGGGGGGGACAGCGTCTCACTATAGTTTAAATTGGCCTTGAATGTGAGATGATCCTTCTACCTTAGCCTCCCTCCTAAATGATGGGGTGATAGATGTGCATCACCATGCCCAGCCAAACACACCACCTTGTTAGGCTGCATACTGGACCATAATGCCTTTATAATATATTTAATATACGTTTCTTTGAAGGCTGGAAAGCAATTTGTTGATTTCCCCCACACTTGATATAATGAAAACTTTTAAAGCATCTAAAAGTTTAAAATACAGTATTTGTTCATTTTGAGGGTCTGTTTTGTTTTGTTTTGTTTTTTGGTAGAAGAGATCAAACTCATGACTTCATGCTTGCCAGGCAGGTGCTTATGCTGCTGAACTAAATCCTTGGCCCTCATTTTGAGTTTTAAAGGAATAGTCAAGATCTTTGTCAAAGTTCATAAACTACCACTATAATCACATTATATACAATGAGCATTTATTACTTTCAAAATTAAATATTTTTAACTAGGGAAAGTATTAAAGGATATATTTCTTGTTAAAACGCTAATCTATAATTGTAGAAAATATAGAAAAGTAGTAATAATTAGCTAATAGAAGCCTTATTACAGTTTATAGTCTTATAGTTTCAAAATATATCAACTTACATAATCCTCACCAAAAAAATCTGTAAGATAGATATTATAAATTATCTGCACTTGACAGATAAAGACAAGCACAGAGAGGTAAGCTATTACCTATACCAAGTGATATCAAACATACAGAAAATAAAAGGAACAGAAGTTAATATCCAGAAAGAACCACTGTTAGCTCTTCTTTTTTTTCCAGACAGGGTCATTTTATGTAGTTCAGGCTGCCTTGAACTCACAACAGTTCTCCTGCCTCAGATTCCCAACTGCTGGGATTACAGGCATGTGCTACCATGCCTGGCACCACTGTTAACATTTTAGAGGCTATTCAGCTAAGTTTTTCTATAGACTATGAGTTTTCTCTGAAAAACTGTACCATATTATAGTACAAACTACAGGTAATTTTGGAAGCTGTTTTAAAACTTAATGTTATGAATATCTATCTCATTAGCTATTTTTAAAATTTTAATTATTTTTATTTTTGAGACAAGGCCTTGCTGTGTAGTTCAGGCTGGTTTTGAAATCACTATATAGCCCAAGCTGGCCTTGAAGTTGTGGTGATCCTCCCGCCTCAGCCTCCTAGGTGCACCACTATTCCCAATCACAATTTTCAAATTCAGAAGCAGAAATTCAATCTTTAGAGATTTTATGGCTTTTTAAAGAGATCTTTATGGTTTTATTCCCTAAATATTTAAAAGGACTTTATTTTTAAGGAGGTATATGTCAGTTACTGAATGTGTCTTCTCCCATCTTTAGCTAAATGATAATAGTAATTAGGTATAAAGGCACTATTCTAATTTCTTTATGTACACTAAGTCATGTAATTCTCAAGTTACATAAAATAGGCACTTTTTGTTATGTTAAAGCTGAGAAAACAGGATCACCAAGAGATCATGAGATATGTTCATAGCCATACTGCCCTGAATCAAATCCTGGCAGTCTGACACCAGAGCCCTGTTCTTAATCACTTTGCTATACTGTATGTTTAAGGATTTGATAATACACGTCTTGGTGTTTAAGCTACCAACAAAAAATGAAAATGAAAAACAACCAAAACATTAAAGCTTTTAAATCTCAAAAAGGTGAAAAAGTTCTAAGAATAATTCTAATATCTGAGGTATTATGAGGTATATCTAAAACATAGTTTTTAAGAAAAAGAATCTTTTTAAAAGAAAGTCTTTATAAATCCACATACCATTACTTTCCACTAGGAAAAAGCAATCAATAATCGCTTAAGCTGCAAGACAAACATCTTTCACAGACTGCTTCAACATCAGAAAGACAGCTAGCAAGAGCTCCAAGAGGGACTGGGAGCCCAGAGCTAAGTGACATCTATAATGACTGGGCAGTGGGAACCCAGCATGAATCACAGCAGATGTTTGAGAGGAGCCGGAGATGCACCAAATTCACCATAGGTAACACTGGAGACAGTATTTAATTCGAACTGGCACACTGTCCTAAACAAAAGACTTAATTTACATCTTGTTAGGTGTTGGAATCAATAAAGTTGATCAACTGCTCTGAAGATGCAATTAATTTACCAGTTAATTCAAATCTGATTCTGAAATTAAAAAGCACCACAGTACTGGAGATTTTTTAAGTTGTAACTCAAAAACTCTCATAATTCTAGAAAATACTGTTTGGTTTATAAAGTCAAATCAAGGAGGGTATATAAAGATAAGCATGGCTCATTTTTTTGGTCCTCAGTTTCTATAGTTGTTCCAAATAAAATGTGGACCTTCCTTGAAATTCACCTTAAATTATTCTTCCTGTCAATGAACATAATATAGGAAACTAGACATTAAGTCTAATTCTAAAGACAGAGACATGAATATGAGCATGAGCCTGTAGAAACTTACTCTAGTCAGAGAGAGGTACATTAAAGATCTTTTCCATACTCTGTGGTGGGACTTATGAATACTTAATTGATTAAAATACACACTACACTGAGAGAAAGTCTCTGTAGTTTTCTAAAGAGGCTTCTCTACTGTTTTAACCATTATTGTAAAGAATATCACTTTCTTCCTGCTGATACTGGCCATTGAACCCAGAGCCTTTGTACTGAGCTATAGCTCCAGCTCTTTTTATTTTTATTCTTTTTTTCTGTTTTGTTTCATTTTTCCCAAGACAGGGTCTCGCTATATAGCCCAGGCTGGTCTCAAGCTTGCAGTAATTCTCTTGCCTCAGACGACTGAGTGCTGGGACTATAGGTATGCACCATCATGCCTAACTTTGTACTTTATTTTGAGACAAGCTCTTGCTAAATTGCCCTGGCTGAGCTTGAACTCACAATTCTGCCTCAGGCTCCCATTGTCCTGGGCATACAGGTGTGTGCCACTATGCCCAGTTATAATCATAATAATTTAAACTGTCAAGATGTGTGTGTTGGCTCACACGTGTAATCCCAGCAACGGGAGGCTGAGGCAAGAGGATCGTTGTGAGTTCAAGACCAGCCTGGGCTACAAAGGAGCTCAAGGCCAGCCTGAACTGCAGAGACCCTGTCTCTAAATAAATAAATAAACAAACAAACAAATAAATAAATAAATAAAATGTAAAATATTATCACAAAACCTATGATTAAAGAAAGCAATCCACTGCCTGCCCCAACACCATTTCACAGACAAGTTCACCTCTTTTAACTGTTTAATGTGATATTATATGAGGCATTTTAAACATAATTCTTTTAACTTCAACACATAAGTTACATCTGATATGTGCTATGAGAGCCACTCAGGTCCAAAGTACCTTCCTTTTACTTCTTTTTAGTCTATCAACCAGTTTCCCTATATCTTCTCTCTTTCTTTTTTTATTTAGAGAAAAAAATCAAAACAGAAAATAGGGTAAAAATAATACAGAATTTTAAAAAAATAGTAAGAAATCACTAGTTGATAAATTTTGTTATCTCAGAAATTCTTGTTCAAGTCACAAAATCAAAGCATAAAAAGTGGACAATGTAACACTGACAGCACAAACCATTCTGTTTGATGAACAAAAAGTTAATAGCGTGGTTATCTATCCTGCACACTTATACATAGTTATATCCTTTAGAGCACTTTCTTTCCCTTTCATTATCATAATATCTATTATACATTTTGGATCTTATTACTCTGTTTTTTATTATTATTTTTTATACTAGAGAGACAATATGATATTTGCAAATGTGAGTCTGATTTATTTCACTTATGAGAACAGTCTCAAGTTGCCTCCATTTACGTATAAAAGCCTCAAGATCATCCTCTTTTATAGCTGAGTAATACTCCATTGTATAAAAAGAATCAACAACTGAGATCTCATATTACTAAAAAGTTTTTGCACTTCCTTAAAAGAAATCACTAACAAAGTGAAAAGAAAACCCACAGAATGGGAAAGAATGTTAGTCAACAATCCCTCAGTTCAAAGGACTTATATCCAAAACCTATAAAGAACTGAAAAACATCAAGCACCCCAAATTCAAAGACCCTCTCCAAAAATGAGCAATGGAGATGAACATACATTTTTCAGATGAAGATATACAAATGGCAAGTAAATACATGAAGAAATGTTCACCATCACTTGCCATTTGAGAAATGCAAATTAAAACAATATTGAGATTGCATCTCACCCAGAAAGAATGACTACCATCAGGAAATCAACTGGTAACAAATGTTGGTGAGGCTGTGGAGAAAAAGGAACCCTTCTCCACTGTTGATGGGAATACAGACTGGTGCGGCCAACTGTGGAAATCAGTATGGAGAGTCCTCAAAAAACTAGGATTGGAAGTTCCATTTGATCCAGCTATTCCTCTCCTGTGTATTTCCCCAGAAAAATTGAAAAGGTCATGTCACAGAGCTATATGTGCACCCATGTTTATAGCAGCTCAATTTGTAATAGCTAAATCTTGGAAACAACCATAATGCCCATCAACCGCAGAATGGATGAAAAAATTATATTTTTTTCTACATCCTCTCTTAACTCTATAAAAGTAGGAGCTTCAAAAAATAAACATCAGACCATATTGTCTAAAATCTTTCTTTTATTTTAATGAACATGGATTAATCCAAAGTTCCTTTCTATTTCCTAAGTCCGATATGATTTGGCCTCTGTGTCCATCTCTGACCTCATTTCCTCCACTTTCCCTGAGTTACTAAGTCCAGCTATACCAGCTTTTCTGCTTCTTTCTAAAACTGCCAGGCTCAGTGCACACCTCAGGTCTTAAACATACCACTTCCTATAGCGGCAACACTTCCCAAGGTGGGTAGCTGGCTCATGGGGGCTCCTCAAATGCCACCCGACAGAAAGGGCTACCTTTACCATGCTACTTAATATAACATACCTCACTCCTATGCTGCCATCTCAGCTACACTCCATTTTATCACCCTGATTTGTTTTATTCAAAACAGCTGTCACTGTATTTAATTTTGCTGCTTATGTGGTTAAATTGGGAACTTTGTCTAACCTACCTGCTTAATCTCTAGAATCTAGTTCTGTAGTAGCAAATATTTAATAAATAGTATTTGTTGAATTTATATCCAAATTTGCTGAGAATCTGAACTCAGAATCTGTTTTTTTAATAGAAAAATTTATAATGAAACATTTCAAACACAAGAAAACTTTAACATATTACCATATGTAATCTCTTTTAAACCTTTCCAACTTTGTTTTTGAGACAGGGGCTCACTAAGCAGTTCAGGCTGGCCTTGAATTTATTTTGTGGTTCAGGCTGGTCTCAAACTTGCAGGTGACCCTCTTGCTTCAGCCTTGTGAGTGCTGGGATTACAGTATGTGCCACCATGCCTGGCTTAAAAGTTTCCAACTCTTTAGCCAATTTTGTTTTATTAATACTTTTAGCCATTTCATCTCTGATTATTTTGAGGCAAATCTCAGATAATATTTTACATATAAATAAATATTCAGGATGTATCTATAAAAATTACTTTTACATATAATTGACATATGGGAAAATTTTAAAAACTCACAGAATTCTGGGCCCCTCTCTATCTGGAACCTAATTTTGTCAGAATCTCTAAGATAAGGCCTAAGTATGTGTAATATTGAAGTTGTCCTCAGATGTTCTGATTTGTTTGTTAAACAGATTGTTAAAACATTCAATGACTGTCCTTCAATCCTCAGTACAAAAATAAAAAAACATTCAATGATTGGAATGGCTCTAGGAATTTCAGAATTGTCAACTACATAGACACTAAATTATGTAATACTATGTAGAAATGTGTTTCTATATTAGAACAAAAGAATATTAGAATTTAAAAAATTGCACAAATTGGTGACTAAAATTGTTAAGGACTGAGGCTTGGTGGTATAAACCTATAATCTCAGCAGGTGGGGAGAGGTGAAGAGGGAGGAGAATAAGTTTAAGGCCAGCCCAGTCAATTAGTGAGACGGTCTCAAAATTTTAAAAAGGTTAGGAATGTAGTTCAGTAGTACCCTGGCATGTATAAAGTCCTAAACCCTGGTACTGAAAAAAAAGCATGGTATATTTCATAATTTCATAAAACAGTACTCTTTGCTAGGCATGGTGTACAAGCCTGTAACCCGAGCGTTTGGGAGGCTGAAGCAGGAAAACTGCCACAAGTTCAAGGCTAGTCTGAGCTAGAGTTCAAGCCCAGAAACTGCACAGCAATACCCTGTTTCAAAAAACAGATTTTAAGGGCCGGGGAGGTAATTCAGTGGTAGCGTGCTTGCTTAGCATATGTAAGTTAGGTTCAATCCCTATTACAACAACAATAAAAAGGTGAAAAGAGTAGATTTTAAATCTTTTCATCACATGAAAAAATATTAAATACATGAGACAATGGATTTGTGAATTAGTCTGATTTAATTTATGCAGTAAACATATAAACACCCAAACATTGTATTATGCTCCATAAATATAAAAAGCTATGGGGCTGGGGATTTAGCTCAGCGGCACAAGCGCCTGCCTTGCAAGTGTGTGGTTGTGAGTTCGATCCCTGGTACCGATAAAAACGAAAAAGACAAAAAAAAAAAAAAAAAAAAAAAAAAGTTATGATTTGTGAATTAAAAAAGAAATGTAAAAAGAATGAAATACTGAATGAGAGACATCTTACTTGGATTCAGAAAGTGGCTGATTAAATTCTTCTTCCACAGCAACGTTGCTATCTTCAAAACTGGGAATATCAACTGCTTTTAGTGAAGAGGCACTACCTGGAGGACTTGTGACTTCATTGTTAATGTCAATAGAAAAATTCATGTCTTCACTGGAAATCTTGGTTTCATCTTGTTTCAGCTGAGAATTAGGCTCCTGATCATCACCTGCAGCATTCCAAAACAAGCTAGCACCTAGAGATTAAATGATTTAATAGGCACTGAAACAAATATTCAACTACAAAAACAATGACCAAATGCTTCTAAAACTAGCTGTATCATTTTCACACCATTGTCTATATTGTTTTTTTTTTTCTTTTACATAGTTTATCTCCAGCCAGTCTATATTGTTTTTGAATTACATTTCCTCAGAAATGCCACCAAGAGGTAGGTGAAAGGTGGAAAGAGAGAAAAAAAGGAACAAAGGAAAAAGAAACATTCGGTCTCCTGACTCTTCAAGGAATTATCAGGCTCATCATTTCTGTGAAGTCACAGATTTTTTGTTAACACATTTTCTTTTTTGAGTATGTATGTGAGGTAATGAGAATTCAACCCAGAACTTCACATATGCTAGGCAAGTGCTCTGTCGTCAACTACATGTCCAGCTGTTTCTATTTTCTCTTTTGAGGAAGGGTCTCAGCAAGTTGACTGTGCTGGCCTCAAACTTGCTATCTTCCTGCCTCAGCCTTCCTTGTAACTATAAGTAGCTGAGATTACAGATGTGTTCCTCGATGGCTGGCTTAGTTTTACCTATTCTTTTTTTTTGTTGGTGGTGGTACTGGGTATCGGTGCTTGCCAGGCAGGCACTATGCTGCTGAGCTATATCAAAGGCCCTAGTTTTGGCTTGCTGGGAGGATGGTGGATTGATACGTAGCAGGGTAGAGAGCCTCTCTGAGAAAAACAACTCAGACACTAGAATTTAACACTTTGGAGAAGACCATATGAAAGGAGAGGGATTCTCACAATCCAGGAAGAAACTAAGGAAAAAGAAAAAGAAAAAGAAAACAAGAAAGGAAGGAAGGAAGGAAAAACGTGGACGAAAGGCTGAACCAGATGCTCTCACTGTGGCCGTTCCTGTGCTGTGCTGGGTGCCTGTCAGTCAGATGACTCACAGTTGCACTGAAATCCCTCATAGCCCTGAAATCAGGGGTTGGTAAGCCCAAAGCCCTTGGTGGGAGGATGCGGCGCAAGGGAGAGCGTAACCAATGTGGAGAGCTGTATTAACCTGTGGTGAGTGCTAGGAATTGGGTCCTGCAGAGGGGTGACTGGCTGGATGACATATTGGAGTTGGGCAGGACAGGCCTGAACCCAGAATCTCAGTGGTGTTAGTCAGTCGCCCCTGGCTCACAGAGAACTGGTGGGATCTGCTTGGGCTGGGTCACATACCTGGTCGAATCCAATAGCCTGGGACAAAACTGTCCCAAACCTGTGACGTCCGCACAGTACAGACTAACGTGTGGAAGACACTCACTGGTTGACTGGCTCAGAGAAGAGGGGCTACCCCACATCATCCCTGCGTGCACCTCAGATAACAGTAAACTGGAGAAGACAGCAAGCCCCCAGCCAGCACGCTTCGGAAAAACCATAAGCATTATGGAAAGGGCCTGAGACCTCCACAAAACACTTGTCTGAAAGAAACCAGAAATAAGACAAGAGAAAGAAACAAGAAAAAGCTCCCAGCTGCTGACCCAGCTGCAGAAGAGATCCAGGGCAGCAATCATGTAATATCGGCCATGGCATCAATGGACATAAAGAAATACCTTTGGGACCTAATAGACAAACTTAAAACTGAAATTCTAATTCAAGTGAAGCAAGATATAAAAAGATTAATAAAAGAAATGCTAAGCATAGATGGAAGAATAGAGGAACCCAGAAAAAGGAGAGAAAACTTTGATGAAGAATATAAACAAAATCTAGAATACATGAAACAGATTCAAAGAGATTACCAAGAAATTAAAAACTCCATTGAAAGCTGGCAAAATTCCTTGACAGAAACTAAAGTTAGACTTTCAAAACTTGAAGATAGATTTGCAATGTGTGATCATGAAAGGAAAGATCTCTTAAAAATATCAAGGAACCAGGAAGTAACAATACAAAGGCTAGAAGATGACAAGAGGATCTATAACTTAAGAATAAAAAATGTGAGGGAAGAAGCAGGAGTAAACACAAATGAAATACACAGGCTATTCACAGAAATAATTAAGGAAAACTTCCCAAGCAGACGAAAAGGAAATGATATTCAAATAAATGAGGCATACAGAACTCCAGCCAGCTACAACCAAAACAGATCTACACCCAGACATATAAATGGAGAAACAAGAAGTTTCCATAACAAAGAGGAACTGTGGGAGTTCATGACCACCAATCCAACTCTACAAAAAATACTGAAGGACAGTCAAGAGAAAAAAATCACCAGCATTCCAGCAACAATCACAGAGAGGTCTCAATGAATGGGGCAGACAGTGGAATGAAGGAGAAAAGTAGACAACCAATGGCAGAAAAATAGCATAGCAGAAATGAGGTAGAGAAGACTCTACAAGTCTGTTATAATCTCTAACAAGATGGACTTGATACACTAACAAAAAGAAACACAAGCAGAGTAGATCAGGAGATAGGGTCCATCGAGATGCTCTGAATAGGAAATATAATCTACCTAAGAGAGGGTTAATGAACTGAAAGTCAAAGATGAGAAAATCATGCTCTATGTGATAGGGAACCAGAGAGAAATAGGAACAGCTCGTCCAGAAGCTGCAGATAGGTTGGAAAGTCATAATACTTTTAAGCAGTGGAGAACTACACAGCTGGAAGGAAGGAAAACATTGAGGCTTTAGTAGGTAAAGCAATACAGCTCAAAATCAAACTTGGGTAAAAAGGCTCAGAACCACTTAGGTAGATAATGGATTGCCCTCCTAATCTAAAAACTAAAGTAGTGGGACCCAAAATGTACAAAGCACCCTGAGAAAGGGAAAGAGGAAGAATTGTCTAAAAAAGGAAGGCAGAGGACATTGTTAATAGTGTATCAGGATTTAAAAGCCACATTAGTCTTACTGCTCTGTTTAGTTTGATTTTATCCTGTTCCAGTCTGTCTACTCGCACTAGATTTGAGGGCACAGACAGCTATTCCCAAAATAACAGTATATACTATAGTAACTATCCTTAATTTCCTATTAACTTAACCTGAAGCCCTGTATTACTTACATTGTCTTACTATGACTGATGTTACTTGAATCTGGTTAGATCGATGTTTTGTCTTGACTGATTTTATTCGAATTTGGTGTGCTTGATAGCATCAAGTCTAAGAGCAAAGGCAACTACTCTGAAGACGACAAATGCAATAGGATACCCATTCCGGTTTGATTATTAACTACTTTTGAAGTCCTATAATGTCTCCAATGTTTTGTTTTTATTAATATTGCTGTGTAGTGCTATGTTCAATTATATTATGCCTGATGATGTAGCCAATTCTATTGAAAATAACAAGAGACATCATAGTAACTACTGTAGATCATCTTTTATTGTGGTTTCATGTCTTTTTTGTTGCATGTTTTTCTAGGAATTTGTTGTCTTGTTTTGATTTGATTTTCCCTCTAATACAGAAAGGACAGGTATACATGTAGAGATTCACGCATGTGTAGAACTCCTAAACAGTTTACAAGCATAGATTATATAATGTACGATGTGATGAACAGATACTCTAAAGAAAAAGAGACACTAAATACCCAGTGCTAATTCTGTAGTGTCATGGTATAAAATCTAGCAATACTATTATTCTCTGTCCAGAGTGATATTAGTCTGTTTTGTTTAATTTCAACATACGTAAAGATATGGACAGCTATTTTGAAGAGAATGGGAGACATTATGGCAGCCATTGTTGACTTCCCTATTATCCGGTCTTGAAGACCTAAAGCCTTCAAGATTCTGTTCTGATCAGTTTAGTACTATTTTGCTCGGTATGAATTCACAGTGTGTGAAGCTATAGACAACTATTTGGAAGAAAACAAGAGATAACATGATAGACAGTGAAGATCTCCAGTGGTCTTGCTTTGAAATCTGTTTCTTAAATTGTTTCCTTATGATCTGTTTTGTTCTGTTTAATTTTACCCTCTTGAAAATGAAAAAAAAAAACAAAAAAAACAAAGGCCCTCGTTTTATTTATTCTGATACTTATAAGAATAAATTTATAAAATATTTCTGTGTATACCACCCCATATCATTTTTGTACCATGAACTATCTAGAATCTGTAATTTGGGAAAAACTGCTATATACTATAATAATTTAAAGAAATAGTTAACACTAGTTAGTTAAATCCAATCAAAATGGTTTCCACTTTGAGGGTCTACATGGTTGATTTTATGAAAATAGTAAAAGCAAGATTAAACTTTACCTATTTTTTTAAAAGACAATTTTTAAAAAGTTATATAGATCCAGCGTCTTCCTTACTACATATTAATTAACTTTAAGGAGGAGTGAAGTACATGTACAAAACATGTGCTTCTAACAGCCATTGAGTCCAGGATGAGCGTGCTGGTGTACAGCTGTAATCCCAGCACTTGGGAAGCTGAGGCAGGAGGATCACTATGAACTTAAGGCCATTTTATTCTTCAACCTAAAACTTCATCTGTTGTTCCTGCAACCTATGTTGTCAATCAATCTATATTCCTATTCTTCAAACATTTGAATGTATCTATCTCCATTTCCAAAAGTAGCTCAACCTAAGATGTTTAAAGTGATTTCACAACCTCTCCTCTGCTTCTCTAACTTGACTCCTGTTTAATATTAATTTTTTTTTTTTTTTTTTTTTTTTGAGACAAGGTCTTGCTGTAGAGTTCAAGCTGGCCTCAAAAGATCTGAGGATGTAGCTCAGCACAAAGACCTTGGGTTTAGTCCTCAGTACCACAAAACCAAAATAAAATAAATCCACAAACAAACTGAAAAGAAAAAAAAAAACCTTGCAAAAAGAAAGTAGATCACCTGTGCTTACAGCAATGCTTACACTTTTTCTCATGTGCAAGCCAGGGGTAGACTGTGCTTCCATGGAAAACAGCTCCATTTGTCTTGTGGCTTGCATCGAATCTTCAACAGTGGTTTTCTTTGGGGAACCAGGCTTCAGAGACTGGGCTTCCAATAAACGCTGAATCTGTATCAGTTGAAAACATAAACTCAGTAATTAACAAAATTGGCATAAATTACAAAACACCCCATTTAGAGTTTACTTTACTTGTATTTTCTCACATTCTAATTCAATCACACTATTAACTTAGTATAAAAAGTCATTCCATTAACAATTAAGTAACATTTATGCTAAATATAAATTTAAAACTAAAAAGATTAGTATTCATAAATTGACACAAAAGTCTGAAAGGTTAATACGACAGGGCTAGGGATTTAGCTCATTAATTAATATTACAAATGAGGTGTTTTTCTTTTTTGTCTTTTTGAGACAGGGTCTAACCGTGCAGTTCAGATCGACCGTGGGCTCACTTTGTAGCATAGGCTGGTCTTGAACTTGCAAATGATTCTCTTGCTTCAGCCTCCCAAATACTGGGATTACAGGAATGTGCCACCTCACCCGGTTTACAAATGAGTATTTTATTCCTACTTCATTTATTCATTTATAAAACAAGTACAATGAAGGTACACTATAATTCTACATGCCACATATTGAACATTTTACACAAGTTTCTTCTTAAAAAGGTTGATTTAGGGGGCCGGGGATTTGGCTTAGTGCCATAAGAGCCTGCTTGGCAAGCTTGAGGTCACAAGTTCCATCCCCCGTACCAAAAAAAAAAAAAAAAAAAATAGGTTGATTAGAATTGCCCACATTTGGTCATGCATAAACTAGAATGATTAATAACCAACCGCTAATACTGAACACTTCTTGTTTACAATATATCAAAAGTTTTTAACAACCCCAAGAAGAGTAAACTATTATAAAACTGTTGTACAGGTAAGAAAATTTGAGATATTGAAAAGTTACTTGTCCAGCTCACATAACTAACAAGTAGCAAAATTGAAGTTCCTACACCAAAAGCCTCTTCTCTTTGTTTTAAAATTAAGATAAAATGGATGTGCCATAGAATTCACCACTTAAGGAACTCACTAGTTTTTAGGATAGTCACAAAATATGCAACTATTACCTCTATCTAACTTCAGAATACCTTCTTCAAACCCCAAAACTGTGACCTGTTAGCAGGCTCTCCTCACTGTCTTCTTGGTAGCTCCCGATGACCAACAATTATCTCTATGGATTTTCCTATTTTGAACATTTCATATAAATAGAACTAGGTGAAATAAGGCCTTGTGTCTGGCTTTTTTCACTTAGTACTTTTCAAGATTCAACCATGTTATATAGCACTTACCAACACTTTTGATCACTACATATTCCGTTGTATGAATATGTCACATAATGTTTATCCATTCATTGGTTGCTAGATAATTGGGTTATTTATACTTTGGGCTATTATGAGTAGTACTGTCATGGACATTTATATATAGGTTTATATGTGGGTATGTTTTATTCATTTTTCTTGGGTATATACTGTAGTGGAAGAGCATTCTTTTTTAAATGTGACTATCTCCTTCTGCACGGTATTATTATATTTAGCTAATATCATTAATTTCAGTGCATTAACCTTACTGATATAAGCATTATCAATAAACTACTAAGATCATTCAAAACAAAAATTGAATCAATAATATAAAATGATTTGGAACACAAATTTTGGTGTCATGCAGACATAAACTTAAATCCTATTCTGCTGAGCCAGGCACGGTGGTACATGTCTGAAGTCCCAGAATTAGGAGGCTGAGGCAGGAGGTCTGCTGTGAGTTCAAGGTCAGCCTGGGCTTACATAGTAAGTCCAAGGACAGCCTGAACTATATAGTGAGATTCTGTTTCAAAAAAGCCAAAACAAATAAGACACAGTAGTGCCTTGGTTCATGAACCTAATTCATTCTACGATTGTGGAAGTTAGTCACATTTATATTCTGTGGTAAGGATGGCTGTGGTTACGTTCATCACCCAATGCAGTTTGCAAACAAAACCAAAGTTTTGCCAAATGCTTGTTGGCAAACTAAATTGTGAACAAAAGCATTCATGAATGGTGACACCACTCTAACAGAAAAAATAGAAAAAAAGTTATTGTTATGCAGCATGGACAAAGTATTTAAAAGTGTACCTTGATTTAGTGTAACTGTCTTGTGTTTTATGTTTTTTGGTCTATTAGTCTAATTGTTAATCTATATATATGATAATTAACTTTATAATGACTTAAATATTTGAATCTGAAGATGAAAGTGGGGTGATGGAAAGGGAAAAAAGAATTAAAATGTGTTATGCACACATACCAATTGCCCACAATGAATGTAATTATATATAACAAATGTGTACCAATAAAAATTTTTAAATTAAAACAAATAAACAAACCAAAACTGAGCTGGACAGGGTAGCGCATACCTGTAATCCTAGCAGTGGGGAGGCTGAGGCAGGGAGGATCACTGCAAGTTTAAAGCCAGTCTAGGCTATGTAGTGAATTCAAGGTCTGAACTACATAGGGAGACCCTGTCTCAAAAAGCCATAAACCACAACCCAAAACCAACCAACCAACCAAAAACAACAACAACAACAAAATATTTTGCTATCTTTTGGAAGTTATTTAACCCCTATGAGTTTCAGTATCACTAAAGGTTACAGTTGTTGTGAGTTATTAAAAAGAGATGAATAAATTTTAACTTACTGGGTGCTTGCTAAGGACAAGTACTACATTAAGCTCTTTATAATAAACTTATTTAACCTTTTTTTTTTTTCCCTTTGGTAGTACTGGGAATTGAATCCAAGGCCTTTACACTGAGCTACAGCCTATCCCTTTTAATTTTTTGATTTTGAGACAGTCTCAAAGCATGATGCAAACTTAGGATCATCCTGCCTCAGCTTCTTCTGAGATTATAGGCATAAACCACCATGCTCTGCATAAAGTGAAGTTAGAATACTACAGAGCATCTCTTCTATTTTATAGAAGAATAAAGTTTAAGAAGATCATATAAGCAGCAGTCAATAAATTATACTGCTAGGGCCTAAAATTAGCCAGTATACTATAAAAATGTATTTTTAAGTAAATACATATATGCTGTTATTTAAGTAAAAGTAATAGATATATATATAATATATATGCTATAAGCAAAGGTTTTATATATATATATATATATATATATATACTTTTTTTTTTTTTTTTTTTTTTGAGACAGGGTTTCCTTAAGTAGCCCAGAGTGGCCTTGAACTAGGGATAATCCTCCTGCCTTAGCCTCCCAAGTGCTGGCATTGCAGGCATGTATCACCATGCCTGCTAGCTTTTAATAGTTTCAATGATTAGAGTTCCAAAACACACTTTAACATCTGAAAAGCTAGTTTTCTTTTCCTTTTCAAAAGGCCCAAGAATTTAATACAGACAGGAGGACTTCAGTGTTTCAGGGATAGCTATTTATTTATTTATTTATTTATTCATTTATTTTTGGTACTGTGGACTGAACCCAAGATTTTACCACTGAGCTGTATCTCCAGCCTCCTGCCTTTTAAAATTTGAAGACAAGGACTTATATTGCCCAGGAATCAAACTTGCAATATTCTTGCCTGAGCCTCCCAGAATACTGAGTTTATCTCCTGAACTCTTTTTTCCATGGAGACAGTGGAGAAGCCTTAGGCTGCAATATAAAAATGTTATCATCCCTCAGTATTCATGGGAGATTGTTTCCATGACAAGATAGCTAATCTACAGATGCCACATTCTTTATACAAAGGTGCAATATGTGCATTTAACTCACATACTTTAAATCATCTGTAAATTATTTATATCTAATACATCGCAAATGCCATGTAAATAGATGTTATAATGTACTGTTTATAGAGTAACAAGAAAAAAATCTACATATTCAGAACAAATGAAATCTTTTTATTTTTCAAATGTTTTCCACCTGTGTTGGTTGAATCCAAAGATGTGGAAACCTTGGATATGGAAGGCCAGCTGTATTTTACAAAACTATAGTAATTATTATAGAGAGCCTAGGTGGGGTGTTGCACACCTGTAATCCCACCACTTGGAAGACTCAGGCAGAAGGCTCAGAACTATGAGTTCAAGGCCAGCCTGAACTACATAGTGAGACCTTGCTCAAACAAACATAAAGATGAATCAATTAATTAATTAAATAAAATGGTACTGGTATTGGAATAAATATGCAGGTCATAGGAACAAAATATAATCCAGAGAGAGATGCAAACACATTTCCATTATACAACAAAATAAACAAAAAATATGTATTAATTAATAAACATATGGGGCCAGTCTCCCGATTAAAAAGAAAAAAATCTTATCCTCATACCAAAATAAAATGGAAAAAACAAATATAATAAGGGAGTGAGAAGCATGCCCTTGTTTTGCATTCTTGAAGGGAAGACTTTTCTAAGCATAATACAAAATCCAGAAAGAAAATGATTGATAAATTACAGATAAAATAGATTTTTACCAAAAAAATACAAATGGCCAATAATAATACTGCACTAATGCAATTAAAAACTTTTATTTATAACAATGATAATTTTAAAAGGCTGATAAATCCAAAGTTGGAGATCTGGAAAAATGGTTTTAGAATATTAAACTGGTATAATCTGGGTCGGGGATGTACTGCAGTGATAGACAGCTTGCCCAGCATGTGAGGCCCTGGGTTCCATCACCAGAGCACATCAAAAATAAAGAAAGAGATTTAATTCTCTTGGTTAAAAAGAAAAGAATCTTCCTTGCTCTACATATTTAAGAGAGAGAAAGCGTAGAGGAAAGGGGAGGGAAGTGGGGAGGAAGGGAGAGAAGGGAAGAGATTGGTATAAGCTTTTTGGCAGGCATTTACAATTATTCAAATAACAAAATGTGCATTATGCAACTATTATAGGTTAGGCTTGGTGGTATAAATCTTAATCCCAGTGACTCCAGAGGCGCTCAGGCAGGCGGATCAAAAGTTCAAGGCCAGTGTAGGGAATTTAGGGAGACTGTCTCAAAATAAGAAAAGGGCTGGATGCAGCTCAGTGGTATAGCACCTGTCTAGCCTTGGGTTTGTTCCCCAAAAGGCAGAGGGGATTACTACATTTAAGTATTTTCAAGGGGTTAAAAAGAGATGAAGCTAAAATCCTTCCCTAAAGCTATTTCCTATGACAGATCAGGAAACAAACAAATATGAAATTCATATATGAATGACATGTAGAAATTAGCTGGTATAGCTGGGCGTGGTGGCTCACACCTGTAATCCCAGCACTCGGGAGGCTGAGGCAGGAGGATCATTGCAAGTTTGAGACCAGCCTGGGCTACAAAATGAGCTCAAGACCAGCTTTAACTGCATAGTGAGACCCTGTCTCAAAAACACCAAAAAAAAAAAAAAAACCAGTATAAGAAGAGGATTATTTCAGGCAAAGAGAACTGAAAATTTAAGAACTAAGTATAAGCATGAACTTCATGTTTGAAGAACAAAAGGTATACTACTGTAGCTGAATTGAACACAGAAGAAGGTGGAAGAGGAGTGGACAGAGGGAGACAGAACTGAACCACAAAGGGCTTGGAGCTGGGTGTGGTGACAAATGTCTGTAACCCTAGTCCCTGGATGATAAAACAGGAAGAACACAAATTTGATTCTAAGCCAGGCAATTTAGTGAGACCCTGGCTCAAAAAGGGCTGGGAATGTAGCACAGTGCAAAGCCTTGGGGTTCAGTCTCCAGTCCACAGATAAAACAAAAAAACAAAAACAAGCAGGGTGAAGTAGCCTGCAATCTCAGCACTTGAGAGGCTGAGATAGGAGGATCATGAGGTGAAAATGAGCCCAGGCTACACAATGAGTTCAAGGCCAGTCTGCACTACACAGTGAGACCTGGCCTCAAAAAACAAAAACAAATCAATGTAAACAAACAAAAACACAACCAAAATATAAAAGGTTTTGAAGCCAAAGTAAAGAATTTGGATTTTATTCTAGTAGCAATGGAAAACCATTAGAGGATTTTAAGGATTACTGATCTGATCTGTGCTTTAAAAATATAGTTGTGATACTTCTAATTGTGAGACGCATGAGAGGACAGTACTGAAAGCAGCATGACTATGCAAACGTCAGTTAGGGTGGTAGCAGGAAAGACAGTGAAAAGCAATTAAATTCAGAATATACGTAAACCATAGAACATAGTCTCCCGTCACCAAGAGCCTCAGTGCTGCAGAATGAACTTAGGGCCTCAATCATGCTAAGTAATTTTTACCGTTGAGCTACAATCCCCCCCCCCCCAAATTTAGGGTTTTTTGAATTAGGTCTAAGAGATTTGATGATAGGTGGTATCACTGAGCTACAATCCCTACTTCCCAAAATTTAGGGTTTTTTGAATTAGGTCTAAGAGATTTGAATATAGGTGGTATCATCAACTGAGATAATAATGATAAAGGTCATATAGCCATGGTTAACATTAATCAAGACCTAACTGTAACCAGGTATTATTCTAAGCCTTTACTAACTCACTCAACCCTAAAACTTCAAAACACTTAAACATAATCTCTTCTATATATATAAGAAGGCTGATCCTGGGAGATAAGGTTACTTATCCAAAGTTGTATAATAAATGTTACAGAGAAACTGGACTAGAATTCAAGGAAACCAGTACTAGAGCCCACTCCTTTCACCACTGCACCAAAATGAAACTTGGAGTACTAGGAGAGGTATAAATGTGAGTATTTTGAACTTTAAATGTACATTCCCTCTGTCTTTACAATTTTATTGTAGAATTCTATGGTGCAGAGATGCTAACACATACACAGTGTTATGCACTAAGATACTCATTACATGTTTGCAATAGCAGAAGCTTCAAAGTACTGATGTAATGAGAGAACAGTTACAAAAACTGTACATAATTACAACAGAATCCTATGCAGAATAAGAAAGAATCCTATACGACCTTATAATGAAAATGTCTAAAGTACTTTAAAAACAAGTAGATGGCTGAACACTCAGGAGGCTGACATAAGAGAATCATCTCAAAGGCTGAAGTACATGGTGAGATAATAGCTCAAGAACCAAAATGAAAGTTTTTGAATGAGGAAAATACTATGTATAGTTATTATAGAAAATTTTCTGTATCATATTTTGTATGATTCAGATACTTAGATGAGAACTTTGTCCATATTACATTTTAAACATACATACCCCAAGCAATTATAAAAGATAGCTTAAAGGATCCTTTTAGCTCCTAGTCTTTTTTTTGAACAAGGCAGGAAATCAATGATCAAGACTTATTTTCAAGGTGAAAACATTTAACTATCTTAACTTTTTAGTTTGTGTTTAAAATAATTTGTTAAAATTTTCAAAGAATTTTTAGGTTTAAAAAATAACAATGCTTAGTTTTCTCATGTGTTCTTATCCAAATCACTTTAAATCAGAATTTGATATCTTTGCTATGGCAAAACTATGCAAACACTATGACTTCAATTTTATAAACAAAAAAAATTTAAATAGCATATTATGCATATAATACATATATTTGGATAAAGTATAATGGAAAAATATGAAGAACACTTCTGGTTGTTTTCATTGGCAGTGAGTATAAAGGGAGGAATACTGGGTTAAGTATGTAGAGGGAGGATACTAATTAGGCAAAAATAGTATTTTTAGTCTAAACTGTGCAAGCATATAATTAAAAACTAAGAACTCATAATAAAAGCCCCAAAGAAAGGGAACATGATGGAACAAAGTGAGTGGAATAAGTCCAGTACAGATACACACAGATGTTCTTGATTTACTCCTTGAATGTAGACTGACTAAGGGTTAGTATGGTTACATACGAAAGGACTGGCAAACTAGAGATATGTCAGCCTTTATATCTAGCTATATATAAGGCCTTACATTAAGTTGCATATAAAAGCTTTGTGAAATACACAGTCTGCATCAGAGCCAAAAAATGAAAGAAAAATGTAATTATGCTGTAAGTTAGGTCACAGTGGTGGTGAATCTATGGTATGCCTGCTGCAGCAGACTATATCATTGAAAGTTCTAAAAGGTTAGGCTTCACTGGGTTAGGGCATATAAGAAAAAAGGCTTAGTTTCTAATATTGGTTCTATTATTAACTAGCAATGTGGCATTTAGCTATATTATTCTAATCCTCATTTCACTCATCTATAAAAGAAAGCCTAAAGTTCAGTTTCTAAGGAACTTTTTAATTCTGTAACTCTGTAATTCTATTCTATAAAACATAATTGATAAAGCATTTCCAGTTTTTGTTGTTTTAGTACTGGGCATTGATCCCCACACTTTTGGACTGAACTACATCTCTGGTCCTATTTTTTTTTTTTTTTCAGTTTTTCTTTTGAGACAGGGTCTTACTAAGTAGCTAAGATTCCCAAGCTGAGCTTAAACTCATAATCCTCCTGCCTCAGCTTCCCAGAGTGCTAGATTATACACATATGCTACCAGGCCTGACATGTTTCCAGTTTTTAAGAAACAAACACCAACCATTTAATAAAACTAAGAAAGTTCCAAGCAAACCTGTGCCTGAAGTAGTCTCAGCTGTCTGTCTTGCTCTGTGACAAATCGATATGCATCTGGAGACAATCCCATCATTCCATTATCTGACCCAGTCTTGGGTGTGTGTGTGCATAGCGCACAAGGCTGTGGGTTACATGAGTTCAGATGTGAAGGCCTTGCCACAGGTGACGGTTCTGTACTGTTGTGGGAAGAACAATTGTCCATGCCTCCCTGAGATCTCAAGGCTGCAGGACTACTCGAATAGAATGCGTTATGGCACAGAGCTGGACATCCACTTGGGTGGAATAATGAATGCTTTTGAAGTGCTTCAGACTGGAGATTATGAATGGAACCTATTGTATTTATTCCATCCCAAGAATTTATTGGACTATATTGAATATGACCATAATGCTGACAACAGTTACAAACATTTGTGGAACAATAAGATGGTAGTGGTGGAGGAGGTATCTGCAGTTCCCCTGGTCTTCTTGGATGATGGGGTGAAAAGACAAAATTGTGTGGGTGGGACTGTGAAGTAAAAGAACACTGCCTAGAATTAAATGTGGACGGTCTTTCAGGATACTCTTCTGTTTGTACATTTCCAGTAACGACTTCTTGAATATTCTCAGAAACATCAGGAAGTAGCACATTAAGAGGAGATGGTTTAACAATGTCGTTCCCAAGATGGGAGTTCCCTTTCTTACAGATAGATGGCTGTTTTACTTTACTGTTCTTCAAAGAAGCAGTACTCTGAGTTAACTGATTTGGTATTTCCACAGAAGGCTTTCCAGCTTCCGCTTCTGGGCTGTGTTTCTTGTCAGGAAGCTCAGGCTGAAGGGGCTTGAAGTGCTCAGAATGGTTGATCAGCAAAGGAGGATGTTCAGGATTCACCAAAGCCAATGTGTTAGACTGATGATTTGATTCTTTGAAATTGCCATCGAATACAAGTGAAAGTTCAGGAACTGATGGTTGGATCTTAGAAATCTATAAATGAGAAAGAAAGAAGAAACTTTCAGGAGAAAGATATGCTGCTTTCCTTAAACCAGTTATTTCCAGAATAATTACTCATCATTAAAGCTTTTTTTTATTCGGGTACTGTGAAGCAAACTCATGACCTTTGCTTGCCAGGCAGGCCCTTATGCCGCTGAGTTATGTCCTCGGTCCCCAAAATAATATTCAATTATGAATTAAAAACTGTTTTTTGGGCAACGTCAGTAAAAATATAACTGTAAGAAATTTAAAGTCTTGGCCCTCAAAGAATACAGCTAACCATCTCCCAAACTTCTTTAATAGTAGAACTCCTTTTATTGGATAACTGATGAACATTGCTCAGATCACAAAACGCCTAGCCTATGGAAAATTGCTTCAGAAAAATTTTCATCCTCACTCTGAAAAACAAAAAATTATCACAGGCAGTAGCTTCAGTATATCTAATGGTAAATGTTTATGTATCTTCAATAACAAGGTATCTTCTCCAATGAATGTTTCAAAATACTTTGTTACTAAGTGAAGTTACTCTGCTATTTTTGCTGAAATCAATTAAGAGATGGAAGAGAACAGAAAACTTTAATCAAAATTCCCCCTATGGTGAATCTGTTACACCTTAATTTTAAAAATCTTTCCTATTCTTTTTTCTTCCAATGTAAATAACTAGTCCAATTAAGGTAAATAACAATTCGAAAATAACTCACTGGTTGGTAGCAATCAAAAAATTATGACAAGTTATTAGTAATTGACTTCTGAATGCAAACAGAATATTCTCTCTGACTATAGCAACAAAAATCAATGTCAAGGTTTGATGATTGCATAGACTGTTGAGTTTTAGAAAGCTCTAATGCTGAAATCAAACCTCCTGAATTAGAATTCCAGCTTTACTCATATTAGTTTGTGATCTTTGGCAGGTATTTTAAGCAATCTATGGCACAGTTTTTTCTGGCCATAAGCGTGTGCGTGTGTGTATATGTGTGTGTGTATAATTACATGTGACTATATATTAAATGCAATAAGTTATACGTATCTATGAAGTATACAAAGTGTGATCAAAATATATAATGTTAAATAAAAATTTTTTACACATCGCTCTTAATCCCCCTTGAAAATATTTGCTCTTTGGTTTGCATACACTTATTCTATCCCACTGCCACTTTGTGCAACAACTCTGGAAGTTCTCTTTATGAGTGCCTTCATGAAGAATATGATAAAAAATATGGTAAAGGCAGTCTTGCAAAAACCACTACAGTGAGTGCAAAGTCCTGAATTCCACTCCGGTAACAAACAAAACAAAACTCACTGTGGTGTATCCTTATCCATGTTATTTAATGCATCTGACACCATTAGACTTCTACTTCTTTTCCAAAGTCAAAATGAAAGGTTAACATTTTGAATCAATTCAGGACATCAAGGCAATCAAACAATGCAACTAAAGAGACATAAAAGATTTCCTAAACTGCTTCAGAAAGGGGTGAGAATGGGTGGGTGAGGAGGCATGCCTGTAAATCCCAGCACTCAGGAGACTGAGGCAGGAGGATCTCCATGAGTCTGAAGCCAGCCTCAACTATATAGAGCTCAAGGCCAGCCTCAGCCACATAGTGAGCCCCGCCCCCCGCCAAAAAAAGAAAGTGCCAAAACAATGGCATAAACCTGTGTGAAGTGAGGGTATTGACTTGTGTCTTATTGTAATACAATGTTAAACATTTGCTGTTTTTCAATCATACTTTATATACATTTCCATATAGATAAAATCAGACAGCAAGGAGCTAGAATGAGCTTAAACAAGTTCTAGGTATTGTTTAATACTTTAACATGAAGAGACTTTCAGATCTCTAGCCACGAGATGAATTTATTAAAAAGTCAGTAATACCTTCTGACTCACTGGATGAGGACTAGGAATCGGTCTTGGAGAAGAATCTTCATCTTCAACACCAGAGTCCTGATCACTTATTGGTACTTTCCTAGGAGTTAACTTTTGGGAAAACCTAAAGAGTAGAAGAGGAGACAAGAAAAACCTTCAAACAATCTAGGATTTTTACCTTCTTCCTTTTTGAAATGGAGTAAAAGTCCTTTGATAAGTAATACCTGGATCTGAGAACCACAAGATTTATTTTTTAAATCAATATTAGTTAAGCAGAAAAATTGGCCTCCTCCGACTCACCTTATTAACTATCCTGTTTGCCTGCTCATGGCAAGTTTAACTGTATGTTATTAATGTCATGATAAACCAACAGAGTTCTTTCTGACTGAACATGCTGAATGCAGAAATAAAACTTGCTCTGTACTATAAAAAAGTTTATAATCTGGCAATGGACATGTACATCAACTGTATTAAACACTTCATTAAATACCCATTATGTTAAAAAGAAAAATGATTGAAAAATTACACTTTTCTATGTATTTATATCTATGGTAGGAAAATACTTAGAGACACTGAAATATCACCTCCTTTTTAGTTAGCTGCAATCCTTATATCACAGATGGCAATTTTAGCAGAACACAGAAAAATATTCAGTCCAGCACAGAATTTCAAAAGTTGAAATTAAGAGTTTAAGACTAAAGATCTGGAATTCTATATACTGTGATTTTTTTAGTATCCTAAACCAAATACACTTAAAATTAACAAGGCTTCTCAGAAAACAAGCCAGGGCTGGAGATACAGCTCAGTGACACAAGTGCCTGCCTGGCAAGCATGAGGTTCAGAGTTTGACTCCTGGTACCAAAACCAAAACAAAATATAACTCCCAAATTTTGTTTCATCCAAGTTGAGTTCTTCTAGCAGAACGACAGCAAATCAACAAGAAGTCTCAAAGCAGACCTGAAGATGCTACGGCATCTGAACACTTCAGAACTCCTTGAACTCTTGTATACTGAAAAGGCATAAAGATCCTTCTGTGCAGAGTACTAAAACAAAACAGTGAGAATGTCTGTAAGATGTGTTTAAGCAGATAGAACTGCACCACTTCACAAAGCCCTCCAATATCATCCAAAAGAACATGTATAATACAGAATGATATCCCTTAAGCTTAGTGCAACACACACATGACAGAGAGCTAGTGATCTCAGTAAGGTCACAGGGATTGCAGCAGGAAAGATGCATAAACCTATCAAAGATCAGGTGCACATGAAAATATATTAGCAGATAGCAGTACAGATGGATGAGAATCATGACACACTTATCACCATTACTGGCATTGCATGTAACCCCAGAGAAAAGAGGATAAAGGGCAATGAATTCACTGAAATTTCCAGTAAAAATAATAACCCAGTAGAATAATAAAGCTTCAAAATACAGTTGTACCTCAGTTTATGATCTTAATTCTTATGTGAGTCTGGTCACAAACCAAATCAAATTCAGTGTTGACCTTAAGGGGAAATTTGATTTGGTTCAAGTACCACTGTAGATATATCTGGTTATAAAAACAAATTACATTTTTATACATATGATATGTGGCACAGAATATCAACTACATATTTATTTACCATGCACACACACAATTGCTGAGAGGCAATGATTAAAATTCATTTCTTAGGGTTTTTTAGCATCTAAGGCAAAAAGGAAAAACTTTAATTATAATGCCAGCTCTTAAGGCAAGAAACATTTTGCAGAAGTCTAGAATTACCAATCTTTATTAAAGCTTAGGTCAGAGTTGAAAACAACCCAGGTTTGAACAAGGTTGATAAAGAAATTATAAATTGGGCTTGGTGGTATATGCCTGTAATCCCAGCACTTGGGAGACGGAGACAGGAGAAGTCCCGTGAGTTTGAGGCCAGCCTACATTACATAAGACCAGCCTGTACTATACAGTGAGACTCTGTCTCAAAAAAAGAAAAAAAGTTTCCTTGATTTGGCTTTTTTTTTTTTCAGAAACTTTCAAGATAATGTTAAATAATGCCTTTAGATTTAAAAAAATTTCCAGTTGTGACGTGGCATCCCTGTAATCTCAGCATTTAGGGGGCCGAGAGGCAAGAAAATCACTTCGAATTCAAGGCCAGCCTGGGCTACAAAGTAAGTTCAAGGCCAGCTTGAACTGTGTAGTGAAAATCTGCCTTAAAAAAGACAGAAAAAAAAAAAAAAAAAAAAAAAGCAATCAAAGTATTCCTACAAAGCCATTCGAATGTGGTAGTTTTTGATGATCTACCCTGTTCCAAGGATAATTTAGTACATCCAAAGAAGATCAGGGCATCTATAGACATCTTTCTAATCCCTAGTATTTCTGTATTGCAAATGGATGTTCCCAGGTGTGATCACATTAAGGATCTTGAGCTGGGAAGATTATTTTTGGACTAACCAGGTGGACCTAGTGTAATTCCAAGGGGTCCTTATAAGAGGGAGGGAAGAGAGTTACAGTCAGAGAAGGCAATGTGAGGATGAAGGGGTGGCAGAGAGCAGAAAGGAAAGGAGAAGAAAGACTTGAAGATACTATGCTACAGGCTTTGAAAATGGAATAAGCAGTATGTGACACGGAATGCAGGTAAAATCTAGAAACTGGAAAAAGCAATAAAGCAGATTGGCCCTGGGAGCCCGAAGAAGAAATGCAGCATTCCTAAATACCTACTTTGGATTTCTGGCCTCAGAACTATAAGATAACTGCTATTTTAAACTACTATGCCTATGGTAATTTATTACAGCAGCAATGTAAAACTAAGAAAGTTGTAGTCGGTTTCATTTTACAGATGGAATGCTGAGATTTACAAACAGGTTTCCACACAGATGCCTGGTATCATAACCTGAGTTTGTAATTACTGTTATATAGCCTCTATAAAGAGTTGGCACAGTCATCTCTTTTAAATTTGTATCACAGATAATTTTCACCTACAGAATCAAGTGTTAGGCTAGATGAATCATTCCATATTAGAAAAAAAAACTAAGTGTGTAGCTCATGAGTAGGACATTTGTTTCTCATGTACAAGGCCATTGTTTCAATCCCAAGCAACACACAAGCAAAAGCCATTTTCTCAGGAAGACAGAGTCCAATAATCAATAATGAACAGCTACTTTCAATCTGCTTGTTTATCATGCAGTTTGTTCTCCCCCGCCCCTTTTTAGATTTGTGAGTCTGGGTCTCCCTATGTAGCTCAGGAAGGCTTTGAATTCATGATCTTCCTGTCTCAACCTCTTAAGTACTGATCTCAAGCAATATTCTATTTATTTGTTTGTTTATTTTAGGGGGACCAAACTCATGAGCTTGCACTTACCAGGCAGGTGCCTGAGCCACTGAGCTAAATCCTCAAGCAATATTGTAAACACACAGTACTAGAGAGGCTAAGAGAGAGGTTTGTATTAACCAAAAAGCAGGGAAACAGGCAAGTCAAATACTAGCACAAATTAAAAATAACGATACTTTCTAAAGAGTCAAAAAATAAACTAACATTCTTAAGAAACTAACATTCTATAGCAGCTTTTAACTAAATTTACCAAGTTAACATACCTATCAAATAATACAAACAACACTCCATCACTGGATTATAAATTCCATGAGGGAAAGACTATGTATCCATCTGCTATATCAGCATATCATCAGAATATTATCTGGTGCATAGTAGAAAACAGTAAATGAAAAGGCTAAATTAGAGATTGATGGTTAATTTTATGTGTCAATGTGGCTAGGTTACAGTAAAAATATTATTTTACATGTTTCTATGGTGGTGTTTTTTTCAGTAAGGTCCACATTTGAATCATTAGACTGAGTGAAGCAGTACTTCCCACTGTATGAGTAGCCTCATCCAATCAGCAAAAGGCCTTAACGGAAAGACTGACCTCCATGGGAGCACGGAATTCTGCCAGTAGATGGCCTTTGGTCTCAGTCTGCACACTCTTGCCTGCTTCTCTATCCTGCAGACTTTGGATTTGTCAAACCTCTATAATTATAGGAGCCAAGTCCCTTAAAATAAACATTTTACTGTATATATACACATCCTGCTACTTGTGTTTCTCTAGAGAGCCCTAATACAAGGGAGCATCTTCCTTACCGCAAAAGGTAGGCTAGCATGACCTATGAAATCCCAAGTGCTTAACCTTTCCAAGTATATTTGTTTAAAAGATCTTTTTTTAGTAAAGTTATTTTTATAGTAGTTTATCTGATAGGACCAGGTTTAAAACTAAAAGGAAGAAAAGAACAAAAGGCACTAAACAATGGAATGGTACTTCCTAGGCAACGTCACAAAGTATTTGTCAAAATTTTGTGACCATATTTTTTTGGTTTTCCTATACAATAAATCAACTCCAATAAAAATTACAACTATCTTTTATTAAAATTATAATCCAGTTGCCTAGGAATATAAAGCAATTCATTTAATGTAAGACATCTACAGTATTAAAGATTTTCAAATAGTTTCATCAGAAATAATTGAAATAATTATTTTTAATTACTCATAAAACACTACTTTATACAATAAAATAGTACAAAAATAGTACAGATGATAATTAAAAGTCATCTTTTACCTCTTAACTGGAAGACTCTTGGAAATTTTGCTGAAAAACTCAGTTTCTACATCTTGGCTTTCAGAACTTAGTTCAAAATGGATTGGTTTTTTGTCAGAAGGTTCAACATTCTAAAATGAAGTAGATCATAAATTGAGATCTGACTTAAATAAAAACATTCTGTTTAGATCAAAAGTTGCTCCAAAACACTAAGGGACTTCTAGGTTCTTTAATCCTCTTTTATAAAATTACAACTTGCCCACCTCCCTGCTATCTAAATAAAAGTCATCTGTATTATTATGTAAGCTACTCAGTATTTAGGGGTTTAATGAATATAATAACTGTGAACTGAGGATATCCCCTAAATAAAATAATAAATGATATATGTCTCTAAAATAGAAATGCATTATTAGATCTGATTTAAAATGATTATAATTAAAATATAAAGTCACAAACTGATATAACCTATACATTATCTATCTCAAAGTATAAAACAAAATCTGAGAGGAACACATGGTTATTTAGTAGTAATAAATATTTTTATTTAAAAAAGTGGTCTTTAGTTTTTGTATGACATTTACAGTTTCAACGATCTATTTTTTTTAGTGATCTTTACCTGGATGCATTTCTATGGATTACATTATATACTGAATTTTAAGTATGAAAATCATATGTATACATATGTACACATAAAATCGTAATATATACATATGTACATATAATTTGTTATAACCACATTTGAAAATAACAGATAAAACACTAAAATCACAAAATTAATTCTCAATAGTACAGTATAATACAACATATAAACTACTGTTATTCCTCAAAGACTTTAGAAAGACACAGGCAAGTTGTTCTGTAGATAACCTTTGGTTTGAAGGTATGATCTTAGGCTTACTAAATAAAAAGTAATCATAAATGAATTAAGTTAATATTCAGTGAGACTGATTACAAATCTACAAAGTCTAAAATCTAACAGTTTGAATTACCATTTTGGTAAACACTATTAGGTTTAAACTACTAAAATATAACGGGAAATACCCATTAATGTACTGGGTAATCAAATCACTTACATTGAAAAGATGCAATGTTTCCTTGCTGGTTAGTAAGCGAAAATGAAGATCAGCTATCCTGCCGTCACAAGGGAGGCATTCATAAAACTCAGGTTCCTTATGTGTCAAAGAATAGAGAACTATGATGAAATTTCCAGATTCTGAAAAAACTCTGGATAGAAAATGACATTTAATAAAAATTCAGTGAAGATAACAAGATTATATTTATCCCTCCATCACTTAAGTCTCCAAATCTAGTTAGTAGAATACTAGAGTACAATGATTAAAAGAAAACTAAGAAACGAATTTAGGCATTATTAATTTTGGGCCAGTTTGCAACGGCAAGCAGAAACACCAAAACAACTCCCAAGATTTGGAGGTAGATTTATTTATGTTGGCAGGAACTGATCAGCAAAAGACAAGCAGCTCCTGAAGCATAAAATATTGGGAAGAACTATCAGTGCCTTCATCCTGGTCACTCTTGCCTTCTCTACAATGCCTCTTGTTGTTCCTTGAAGTTTAAAGGTCATAGTTCACACAGAGCCTTAAGGTTTTCTATGCCTCAAGCATTGCCTCAGAGAGCAACAAGCCTTTTTCCTTGTCTTTGTGTCCCTGACCGCCTAGATTTTTTTAAAGACACATACAATTCACATCATAATTAGATCATCAAATTTAATAATCAACATTATGAGAGTAAGAAAAAAAGGTTTACACTGGAATCCTTGGGTTGAATGCTTTACTGTTTCCACAGAATAGACTAAAATGACCTGTTATACAATTAGCCATGAATACAGTCCTTGAGGTTTTTTTCGCCCATATACATGAATATTGTCTAAAACAAGTCTTGTTTGTAGCGGGCAGGTGGGGCCACAACTGTGCTTGGCTGAATTCACTTACCTGTTTTGACCCTGTCCTTTCTCTGGATTGTTTTTCCTGCTGAACTGTTTGTTTTCTGCCTGTATTTCTAACATTCTCATAGAGGATATTGCTGGAACTGCCACTTGGTTTTGTGGCTTGGCAGAGAATTGGCCTCTAGCATCAAAGGGGCCAGAGTTCCTGCTTTCAAAGTTTCCTCTCTTCATTGGTCCAAAATTTGAAGACTTGTAATTGCCGAAATAACTGTAGCCTCTACTACAAAAAGTGCTTACTTACATCATTACTATTGTAGTCATCACTACTGCAGCTATATCTACCACCACCACAGCTGTCATGAAAGCTATCGTAACCACTAAGATACCTCTATGACCAAAATTGTCACTGTCACCAAAAGCAAAGCTCCTAAAGGGCTCGGTATTTGGATTTCTTTATACCAACTTCCTGAGTGTTCCCCACTGCTCAAAATAGCTCATCAGTTGTTTCTAATCTTAGCCCTCTAACAAAGAGCTTTCACAGCTGCTCAGGGTAAAAGAACTGATTTAGAGAGGAAAGTACTTTAAGAAAGACTGTAACAATGGTTACTCTTCGAAGACCTAAATTTTTTTTTTTTTTTTTTTTGATACCGGGGCTTGAACTCACAACCTTATACTTGCCAGACAGGCACTTAGGCCGCTGAGCTAAATCCCTGACCAAAGATCTAAATAGTAAAAGAGAAACAATCTGCTGGATGATAGCATAGGTAAAATTCTTGAAAACATAGGTTTAGGCAAAGATTTTATAAATAAACCTTGGTCATTCAAGGTCATTCATATAATATAAACTGAGTTCACATCAAATTAAAAACTTTTGTACAGCAAAAGAAACCACCAACAGAGTAAACAGACAACCCCCAAGATGGGAAAAAAGTTTTCACCAGTTACTCTTCCGACAAAGGACTAATATCTAGAATGTAGAAAGAACTTAAAACATACACACACACTCAAACCCATCAGACCCTTTTAAAGCCTCAATCCAAAAATGATCATCTGAAATGAATAAACATCTCTCAGATGAAGTAGTACAAATAGCAAATAAATATATGCAAAAAATGTTCAACATCCCTGGTCATTTGAGAAATGTAAATTAAAACACTGAGATTCCATCTCATGAAGAAATCAACCAATAACAAATGCTGGTGTGGTTGTCAGGGGAAAAGGAACACTTCTCCACTGTTGGTAGGCGTGTAGACTGTTGCAACCTCTCTGGAAATCAATATAGGAATTCCTCAAGAAACTAAAACTAGAGGTTCCATTTGACCCAGCTATTCCTCTTCTTAGGTATCTTCCCGAAAGAGTTAAAAGCTTCAAACCACAGTGATACATGAATACTCATGTTCAGAGCAGCACAGTTTATAATAGCTAAATCCTGGAAACAGCTCACATGCCCATCAATAGATGGATGAATAAAGAAAATGTGGTAAATATACCATGAAGTTTTAGTCTGCCATAAAGGATAAACTTGAATCATTTGTAGAAAAATGGGTACACTTGGAGAAAATAATCTTGAGTGAAATAAATCGTATACACAAGTTTAAATAACACTTTGTTTCTCTTGTATGAGAAACTTCAAGGGTAAATAAATAGCATAATGGAGGATAGATATTGGGAAGCTGAAGAACATGTTCAAATGGAAAGAGGAATAAGGGGAGGAGGGGAATGAAGGGAAAAAAGAAAAAAAAATGGTAACAAAGACTTTGTAAATGGGGAGGGAAAGAAGAGCTGAAAGAAGGCGGCGATGGGGAAAAAAAAAGAAGATATATTATGTACAAGTATAAATTTCCTATGATGAATGTGATCAATATGTATGACAAATATGTACTAATAAAAAAATAAAAGAACAGATTAAAAAAAAAAGTGCTTTCTTGGCCGTATCTATGGGCAAAAAAGATCTGACTGTTTCAAAATTACAGCGTTTGCTGAAATAGTGACTGCACCCAGAACCTCAGCAATGTGGGAGCCTGAGTAGGAGAAAGGCCAGGAGTTTGAGACAACATGGACAGACCCGAGCAACAGCAACAGCAAGAAGGACACATCCTCCTCTCCTTCCTGGCTTTATTTTGCTTCATAGCTCACCACTTTTAAAAATAGTATTCATGTTACAATTGGGAAAAAGACCAAAATGTTACAGAATAAAATACCACTTGCCTTTCTTGAAGAGAAGAACTGAACATATATCGCAAGCAGCAAGCCCATACCTGAGGACTATAGATATGCAGAATTCCAGATAGCCAACTAAAAGAAAAAAATCGAAATTAAAGTCTACAGTCATTAAAAAACGAGCATTCTTTAGACTGTTTGCTTCTCAAGGTAATATGGCAAATTCTTGACATTTACCATTTGTTATAACTTGTATCTAGATGTCCCTTCAAACCTCATTCAGTCATGTAAGTGGGGCTTTTCAGAGGTGGCTGGAAGTTAGACGTGTGACGCTGGATTAATGATGCAATATGAGGATTAAAGATGTCCCACCCTGGGTGTGAGTGTTACCGCACCCTGGGTAGTCTGGATAGAATATACGGGACAAAAAGAGGGCTGCTGCTGCCTCTTGCTGTCTGCCCCGCTTTGCTGTGGACTGTCCCCTCTGTGATGCCCCTCTGCCTGCCACCCTACCTTGAAGGCAGGTGACTATAAAATGAAACCTCTACGAACTGAACCAAAATAAATCTTTCTGCTCTTAACTTTGAGTGTTGTGTATTTTGTCTCAGCAACAAGAAAAGTAACTAAGATACCAGTAATACATTAAAAAGCCTCACAAAGGGCTGAGGATATAGAACAGTGGCCTAGCACACAGGAGGCCCAGGGTTCAATTCCCAGTGCCTCAAATAATCAGAAAAAGACTTGAGAAATATGCAAACTTAAGAAATCTACACTGACAATTTAGAAGGCGAATACAGTATACAGATAAGAACATTAATATATCTATATAGCATTAGCATATGGAGAAAAAGAGTACACATTTTTTTTCTTCTGATCTCTTCACCTGAGATGTGCGCAAGAAAATGTTTCACAGAGGTGAAGCCAGGGTGCCAGACTAGAAAGAATGAGCTTAATTGGCAGAGACTAAAGTTTGTAGTCTAAAAGGTCTTTATAGAGTATTAAAAAGATGAATGTTGTAGGTATCCTGTAAACCTTATATATAGACTGAAATGTAAGGTTTTTAGTGAATGTTTATTCAGGCGTCAATAACCTAAAGAGAGCCAGAACCACAGCATAGACTGCAAATAGATTTCTTGGTCCAGAGGACATGTCTGTATCATCACTAACCTGGTACTTGTCATTCTTTAATACGGATTCCACTTCTTATCAATCCTTCCTTCTACTGCCAGACAATTAAAGGTCAAGTTCAAGTTTGCCTTCTGTAAAAAATGCTCTATCATGCCTCTCTTACAAATTACTACTAGGAATCATTGTCTATACTATTCTTTTCACAATAAACCATTTACTTCATTATTTATTTTTCTGTATGTCAATTATTACCTTACTTTTGGTTATGAATTTTTTATTTTTTTATTTTTTTTTTTTTTGTACCCGGGATCGAACTCACGACTGTGGACGTTCAAGGCAGGCGTGAGGTCATAAGTTTGATCCCTGGCACCAAAAACAAAACAAAACAAAACAAAAAAACCCCACAAAAATCCCTGGCCCTGGTTATGAATTTCTTAAGGAACTTTAAATACTAACACAAAGCCGAACATAATGTTATATATAGAATATGGAAAGCACGCAACAAACACTAATGTTTGTGAATAATCTTCTAAATGTCATTAGTGGCTAACTTTAAAACCATTAACACTAAAAGGAATTTCCACAAAACTGTCTGGAAATAGATTTTAACAGTATTGTTTTGAGCCCTTAAGGACAGGGGAAGTAAGAGAAAATTGAAAAAATAGTGCTCTAAGCCTTCAAGTTTAATAATTCAATTTTTAATGAGCAACTCTATAGGAAAAAAAATAAAAAATCATTCAATTTTATCCATTGTATACACTGGTGTTCGTCCTATGACTGAGGAAAAAATTCTTTTAGCTGATTCTACATTAAAATTTTTTAAAAAACTTAAAACACTGGTTTTGTGGCTTTATAAGATCATCTGTACACTCATGGGATAGCTGATTCATGTGCTTTTCATATGTACTTGGATATGTACAACCGTTGATCTAAAGGTTTTATAAATAATACAATACTTACATTCCCACTAGTGGTAGAGAACAAACCTTGGGATCAGATTCCAGCAAAAGTAATAATTTGCGTGTCTCATCCATGGTAAGATAGCTAAACAGAAGACATTTATGTAAAAATAATTGAAAGTATGTATTTTAATCCAACAGAGACAACCTGAATTATGAAGCATATTTTAAGTAAGGTACAAGATTCAAATGAACACTGTCTCCCACACATAGCTAAATAAAGAAAACAATTCAAACCATTTGATTCAGTAAAAGGAAAACTCCCGTAAAAAAGAGATTAAAGAGACTTAGTATCTTAAAGTGTCCATATTATTGGGCCAGGGATTTAGCTCAGCAACATAAGTGCCTGCCTGATAAGTGTGAGGTCATTCAATCCCTGGTACCACAAAAAAACAAAACAAAACCTTTCAAATTATTAAAATTACCACTAATGTGTTGTTAATTTCCAATCATCTTGTTTTGAAATCCTATATCATTTTCTTTCTTTTAATCTCTTTAAAATAAAGAATGTACACTTTAAAATCATTTGTTATTTTTCAACTTAAAACTTACTTTTGTCAAAGGTGTTATAAAGCAGGCAATTTCACAACTGATTAGGTACACTGGGAAAAGTGAATTTCCTGTTACTGAAGTATGCAAGTATCCAGGTAACTTGACCAGATTGCAACAACTGTGACTTCTCGCTGAGGGAGGCTGAGTTAGAGAAGGTATAACCAACTCTCCATGTATCACATGAGGTGAGCTCAGTGGTGCTCACCTCATATGCATCAGCCACCTCTGTCAAAAGGGAGAAGATGAAAATCCACAGCAGAATTACTGAGTTAATTTTACTGTTACGGATTTAAACTACAGAAATAAGAACAATGCCACTCATGATATTAAGTCTAAATGGTACTACTGCTGACATCTTAGTGCTCTAATAACCTTAAAATATGAACAATAAATTTATCAGGCCATGAAGTAAGACTAAGCCTGAGTTACCTTAAGATTTATGTATCAAGAATGACACACCTGCTTTAAAAGCTCTCCCTCTAGCCAAGTGTGACGGTGCATATCTGTAATCCCAGCATTCAGGAGCCTAAGGTAAGAGGACTATGAGTTGTAGGTCAGCCAAGGCTACAGTGAGAGCCTATTGAGAAAAAAAGAAAGGGAGAGACGGAGAGATGGAGAGGGGGAGAGAAACGAGGGGAAGAAACAGAGAGGAGAAGAAACGGAGAGGGAGAGAGTGAGAGAGGGGCAGGGAGAGAGAAAGAGAGAGGTCGCAGTTGGCTAGTCTCATCCACCTAACAAATTCCTATTTCTATACCTTAAAAGAATTGGTTTAAGCTTATCTTGATTTTCCCAGGTTATTTGGACATACCTTTTTACTTTCCCAGCACTGCATATAAACTTCCATTGTAGTGCATTATGTTTTGATATCAACATACTTATTACACAATAAATTGTTTAAAAATTATTTCTTTCTAGTGCCTAACACAATTGCCCATTTTATAATGGATTCTAGTAAATATTAGAGTAGGTAAATGTTGTTGAAAAAAAAGAACAATGTCACAAATTTAATAGATAACTGTACACAAGAAGTGGCAAAACAGGGGCTGGGGATTTAGCTCAGCGGCATAAGCGCCTGCCTTGCAAGCAGGCGGTCGTGAGTTGGATCCCTGGTACCGATAAAAATGAAAAAGACAAAAAAAAAAGTGGCCAAACAGGCAATTGGACAGAATACTAAATAACCTGGTTACTAAGAGAATGATAAGGGATCACAGATGAATAATTGAAAGAAATTCAAATTTATGCCACATGAGGAAATAGGCACGTGTACAAAGGAAAACAAATTAATTTTTTGGTTAATTTTAACTGAAAAATCCCACTTTTGCATTAAAAAGCACTCTATTACACAAAAAGAATTAAATGTTAAATTCAAACTTTTGTAATATTCAAATATTACAAGATTTTGGAACAGACTAATATTTTTGCTATTCCAAACAGTGAGCAATACTCTGGTCAGATCTCAAATTCAAAATGGAACCTTTTTCATACTTCAGAAACTTTCTTGTCAAAGTTTTCTCTCTTATTCTCTTTCAAGGCAGCATTTTTATTTTTTTAAATCGGTACTGGGGCTCAAACTTGTGACCACGCACTTGCAAGTCAGGCGCTTATGCCGCTGAGCTAAATCCCCAGCCCCTGAAAGCAGCATTTTTTACAGGCAAAGTACTGGACTTCAGTACACACTGGCAAACATTGCTGATGCTAGAGACCTAACTAGAGTGGCGTCAGCAGGAAAGCAAGTCAGTGGTGTAATACTTAATGCTACTTCAAAGTTTTTAAAGCATAGGTTATTCACACTGTCTTAACTAACATATTTCAGTAGAAAATAGATAAAATACGAGTATGCGAGAAGTAGCCCTACAGAGGATCAGAAAACATGCATCTTGATTTACAATTCCTAAGAAACTAAGGATAAGAAGTTGTAGAGAATTCTGCTCCAGCTATGTGAGGAAACTCCACCTTCAAGTAGTTGACAATTTGGCAAGAGTATGACAAATATTTATTTCCTTTTTCTACCTGTACATCATAAATAATAATTATATAAATAAAGCTATATGGTATAAATAAACTCTTTGGGCTCTCTTAGATTCACGATTAGTCAGTTTATTGTTGAACAAAATGATCTAAAACCTAGGTAAAGTAGGATAGGAACAATAATACAGAAGTAACTTCTCCTTACATTTTTAAATCATGAAGTATTAACCTTTTTTTCCCCTGCTGTGGTGCCACAGATTGAATTCAGGACCTCCTGTATGCTAGACAAGCACTACCACAGAAGCATATCCCTAACCCCAAAACCAATTTTAATATAATTTTTTAAAATCAAAAATATTTTTGTAAGGTTATGGGTATAACCCTTCAAAAGGAAACTCTATATTCAGAAAATTTAATGGACTTGGGTGGTAGCATGTGCTTAGCATGTACAAGGCTCTGGGCTCAGTTCCCAGGATCAAAAGGATAGAAAAATAACAACATCACTTTATTTTTTAACTTTCCCTCATCACTGACAAATCATCAGACCTCTGACATGTAAACTGAGTGCACCATTATTTTATATTATTTATATGATATTTTATATTTTAAATAATTTATATTTTACATTCTTATAATCCTAAAAAAAACTTAATGCAATCACTTCTTAAAATTTTAGAATAATACTGTATATCTTTCACTTACCCATATTTATAGGTACCTTGAACTTGAGAAATATTCAGATTACTGCTCAGATTTCTTGCCAGAGCTGTTGGAATAATGGGAATGGGCTTCACAGGTGCACATTTGAAGTTATTTGCTAGCGTTACTGCTTCCCAATACAAGTCAAAATCCACACTGTCCAAACTCTCCCTGGAAGTGATATGCACTCGTACAGAAAGCAGTTTACCACAATCCAAGGAATCTTTGCTACATACATGCTGCTGCAAAGCCTAAGGAATCAATATGATACAATTATTATATGAAAACTGAAATGTGCCTCTATCTTCAAAATATATTTTATACTGTGCATACACACTTAGAATATATTGCATTAACAAAATTAAATTAGTCTGGATTATTAGATTTGAATTCATTTTTTATGTGATCAAATGATGAAGGAATAATTACATTATAGCAAATAGGACTTCTGTTCCAAGCTCGGTCACACGTTTTCTAACTTAGATGACTTACCAACACTTGGAAATAGGAATATTTATTTATTATGCAAGTAAGCGTGGATATAATTTAATTCTGACTTAGCCTTAGACAGTTTGAAGAGCATTCCCTTTTGATTCCTTTTGTTACTCCAAATTTCAGGTAGTTCTTGCCCAGCATTTGCTCACACTCACTGTATTTTTTCTAGTGTTAGTGCCACCACTCTACTACTGGATAGCACATCCCTCTCTAAACATCTGATTACTGTGATGGTCTGAACTGACTTCAGTCAGCCAACTCCATCAGATCAACCATCCCTCATTTGACAGTATTTTCTCTTTTCAGAAACTTTCTATGAATGCATGGCCCATTCAAAAAGTTCAATTTCTTTAGCCTGTGAGACAAGCCTCTATAATCTGACCAAACTATTATTTCTGTGACTCTCCATAAAATCCTGCAAAAACTACACAGAGTTACACAGAGCACATCTTAACGTTTCCTATCTTAGTCGCATTGCTACTTTTCTTGAATGCTGCCCATATCACTGTCCCTTGCTTCAGAAACCATATTTAATTAGATTTCAGTCCACGATAATTCAGTGATAAATTAGTATAAACAGGTCTCAAATATGGGCTTACTGAAGTACTGCATACCTGGCATGATTCTAAGAACTAAGAATAACAAAATGAGTCTCACTTTAAAAGCTGCATTGAAGTCATCTACATCATCAGCTGTTATTTCACTTGAACAAACTCCCTGAGTATGAACTTTGCAAGGGATCAAAAAGTCCCCAGGAAGAGAAGCAGTAGGAGTTCTTTCTAAGCATCCAGGTATTTCTCGACCAGGATCAAACCGATCTATTGTCAATGTTACACCTTCTTCATCTGAGGAACAGAAATAACAAGAGTTATACAGCATACAAATAAAAACTATAAACCAAAGTTACGTTATAGCAAAATACATTTGCCACACCAGTAGCATATTAAACGTTAACTTCAAATAATGATTTATTTATATATTCTTCCACCTGACTATATTGAGATATCTGTAACAGTTTTACTTATCTTCATAACAAGCAATTAGTACAAAGCACAGACAGGCTGGCTCAATCAATAAATGTAAGCTCTGTTCTTGCCACACAAGTAAGTTTTAAAAGTGTATTACCATCATCCACTGTGAGAGAACCAAGCAAGAAGCATGGCACATTCTTTTTACTTTGCTTAGCATGACGGTAAGCAAGTCGAATGGTCTTTTCAGTCACCACAAGCTTTGGATTTCTGAAAAATAATAGAAGTCTTGTTCAATGTGGGTCATGAAATGCTGCCTATAATATAACACAATCTTTAAAATGTATTTTCAGGATATTGCAAGGTCAAATGCAGTGGGTAGAGAGGGTCATCTGGAAACTGAATGGCAATAAGCGGAGATGGAAGCTCTACTTGTCTTCCAGGCACCTGCTTAATTTTATGAACCAGAGCATGAACCGACAAACTAAGATGCTGATCAGTTCTTATAAATATTGAGTAAATAGCCACATTCATTTCCATATTGTTTATAGGCTTTAGATAATAGAAAAATTCAACGTAGAACATGATTAAATGTTTAAAGATACATAAAAAGAAAATGTTTAATAACTAAAAAAAGTTCAGATAAATTTGAAAAAATCCACCATCAATCATATAGAACTTGCAGAAATAAAATATAATCAATTTAACTCCCCCTCTGCTGAGATATGGTCCCAATATGTAGTTCAGGCTCACTTTGAACTCAAAGTGATCCTCCCGCCTCAGACTCCTGAATGCTGGGATTGCAGGAGTGTACTACCATGCTTAGCAAAAATATAATCAATTTAAAACTCACAAGGTTATATAATCAGCAGGAGCAGCCATGTGTAGTGGTGTGCACCTATAATCCCAGTACTCAGCAAACTGAGGCAAGAGGATTGCCACAAGTTCAAGGCCAGCCTAGGTTACATGGTAAGTTAAAGGCCAGCCTGGACTACAAAGCAAGGGCCTGTCTCAAACAGAAAACAAAAGAGAAAGAGAAAAAGAAAAATCAACTGAAGCCATATATTACGCATATATGTTATAAATAACCTTTCATATACGTACTTCCACATTTAAAAACACAACAGGGCTGGGGTAGGTCAGTGGTAGAGTGCTTGCAGAGCATGTACATGGGTTCAATTAAAAAACAATTTTAGATAAAAACCAAAAACAAAAAGTACGATGAAAACTGTATGCACGCATGTGTGTTTTCTAGCACTGGATATCAAACCCACGAGTCACTGAGCCACATCTCTACTCTTATTGTGACACAGGGTCTCACTAAAATGCCCAGACTGGTCTTGAACTTCTGATCCTCATGCGTTAGTCTCCCGAGTAACTGGGATTACAGGCCTGTATAACTGTACCAGGCCTGAAATGGGTATTATAGCTATTTTCTTTAATTAAAGAAAAAAGAAAGATCCTTGAGTACTAAGGTTACATAAACAAGAAGTGGTAGAATCAGGATCTGATGCTGTAGTCAGTCTGACTTCAATTATAACACTTTAAATCCCAATGGCAAGCTGGGTGTGGTGGACATGTGTAACCTCAGCACTTAAGAGGCTGAGGCAGTAGGATTGCCATGAGTTTGGAGACCAACAAGAACTATAATGAGATGCTGTCTCAAACAAAACAAAAACCCAGTATAATGTAAATGTGGTTATAGAAAAACAATTCCCAATTTGACTGATGCTAGGCTATCCCCACTAAAATCTATACTTCTTGGATTATTACTCTCAATAAGTACAATATTACATACAAATTCTCAATGGGTCTTAATGGGTCACAGCAGTCCTCAAGCCTCAGTCTCTCAAGCACCAGTTTTTATGAACACTTAATCTTTCTTGAATTTCCAGCATATTCAAAACTTCAGATTTGCTGAGTATTTTAACTATGAAGTTAAAATTATTTCTCATAAGTACAAGGTAATAATTTAAGCTGCAACAGGTGGAATTTTTAAATGGAAAAGTAAAGAAAAATGAATACAGATTGAGTCCTCCTTACCAAAAATATTTGGGAGAGAAGTATTTCAGATTTTGGACAATTTGTACATATATAACGAGACATCTTGGCAATGGGACCCATGTGTAAACATAAAATTCATTTAGGTGTTATACACATCTTATACATTATACAATATATATAGCCTGAAGGTAATCTTTTTTTTTTTTTTTTTTTTTTTTTTGGGTACCAGGGATTGAATTTTCAACCTAGTGCTTGCCAGATAGACACTTGTGCCACTGAGCTAAATCCCTAACTGCCTGAAGGTAATCTTATACAACTCCATGTTGTACGCTTTCACTTTGATTCTAACTAGGCACATTTAGGTCAGATGTGGAATCTTCCACTTATCATATCATGTTGGCAATCAAAAAGATTTGGTTTAGAGCATTTCAGATTTCAGATTTTGGGATTTCAGATTTTGGTCATTGTAATCAACACATTCTTTTATTACTTATATTGGTTTGATTTGACAAAAGAAACATATTATACCTGAAGTAACTGAGATGTAAGTAGATAAGATCTCCAATTGGTACTGGGTTCCAAAGTGCACACTTTGATGGAGGAAAGTGGAAAGGTACCATTTTTCTTGAAGAAAACCTTTAAAAATATATATTTGAAAAAATTTAAAGCATGAAGAAAAACAAACTCGGTAGATGTTTTGTAAAAAACAATTATCATTACCAGGCCACAATGGTCCCTGCTTGTAGTCCCTGCTGTTTGTTTGTTTAGGTCTTTTGAGACAGGGTCTCACTATGTAGCCCAGTCTTGTCTCAAACTTGAGGTGATCCTCCTGGCTCAGCCTCCAGAGTGCTGGCCTTACAGGTGTATGCCACTATGCCCAGCCGGTCTCAGCTACTTAGGAGGCTGAAGCAAGAAGATTGAGTCCAGGAATTCAAGACCAGGCCAAAAATAAACAAACAAATTGGGAAAGATGAAGGACTTAGATAAGACAAAAAAATAATATATACTGCCATGGATGTGGAGAAACAAGAACCTGTATACACTGTTAGCAGAAATATAAATTGGCATGGCCATTATGGAGGCAGCATGAAATTCCTCAAAACATTAAAAATAAAACTGCCATAGGATCTAGCAGTACAGTCAGTATTTATCCAAAGAAAATAAAATTGGTATGTTGAAGAGATATCTGCACTATTGACTGTAGCACTATTCGTAACAGCCAAGATTTGCAATTATCCTATGACCAACCACTGACAAAAAAAGTGTGATATACAATAAATACTGTTCACTCTTAAAAAAGAATGAAATACTGGCATTTGTCACAATGGTAATGAACCTGTAGGACATTATGTTGAATAAAATAAGCCAGGCAGAAACGCAAGTACTACATGATCTCAGTCATTTCCAGACCTAAAAAAAGCTGATTTCCTAGAACAGAGTAGAACAGTGGTTACCAGAAGTTGGGGAGAGTAGGGAAAAGAGATAGAGAGAGAATGGTCAATGGGTGGAAAAATTAATGCTATATAGAAGAATTAAGTTCCAGCTTAGAATTCATAGCACAGGAGGGTGACTATAGGCAACAGTGTTGTAGTATATATTACAAAATAACTAGACAGGATTCTGAATATTCTCATAAAAAAGTGATAAATTTTCCAGGTTTGGTGCTGTATACTTATAATCCCAGCAATCTGGGAGGGTGAGTCAGGAAGATCATAAGTTTGAGCCAGGCTAGGCAACTCAAGACCTGGTCTCAAAGACAAAAGTAGTTCAGTGAAAACCCATCCCAGTGCAAAAGAACCCAAACAAAAACCAAACTAGAACAAAACATAATGAATGAAAATTCATAATGAATGAAAATTTGAGGAAATGGATACGTTAAATCTCATAATTTGATCTTTATACAATGTACATACACATTTATTAAAACCTCACACCTCACACTGTGTTCCCTAAGTATGGTATGTATAATTATTATGTATCAAAACAAAACTGAAAAAAAGAAAATAAATCTAAAAACTAAATAAATTTTACAAAATGGAAGTTGGTTGGAAAGGAGAAGGAAGAGAAGGAAAGAATAGAAAAAAGAAAAAGGAAGAAGGAAATAAATCAGTACATGTAAACTGCTTAAATAATGCATGCTACCTTGTAAGAGTTCAATTTTAGTGATTTCTTTTTCTTTTTTCTTGAGACAAGCTCTCATTATGTAGTCTAGGCTGACTTGTAACTAGCTATAAGGGCTGATCAGAAACCATGATGCAGGTTTAAGTTTTAGAAAAGTTTTATAGTAAAAGACACATTGTCATTAATGCCCAAGAATACTCCCCCATGCTTCAAACACACTTATCCTATTGTTGTTGCCACTTTCTGAAGAAGTCCTGGAAGTCCTTATTCATATCTTTATGAGGTGTGATCAAACAGATGGTGAATGCTGCTGCCAGTGCCATCCAAAAAAAGGCAGGCTCATAAAACCATTACAGCGTGGTTTTGTCCAGCTTACTCAGTGGCTGCAACACTGTGCAACTTCTGGCTCTTCCCCGAAGTCAAAATAATCAGGAAAGGTAAATGCCTTGAATTTAGTAAGAACATCAAGACAGACACGACTGTGCTACTAAAGACAGGAAAGAGAACGTCCATAATTGCTTCAGAAAGGGGCAAGAATGACAGAATAAGTGTGTTTGAAGTGAAGGGGAGTATTTTAAGTGGTATCGATACCAATGTGTCTTTTACTGTTAAAAAATTTTTGATATCACATCACATATGTAGCCCAGGCTGACCTTGAACTCAAGATCCTCCTGTGATAGCCTCCCAAGCTCTAGGATTATTGGCATGTGCCACTGTGCCTATCTTAGCTATTTTTTTCCCCATTCTCAATTGCCCACAGTACCTTTAAAAACCAGTCTATAATACTTCAGGTTTATTTCCTTAGTTGTATAGGTTAAAAGTCAAGTATAAATACTGGCAATACCACTTACTAACTATACAATCTTAAACTGATTCATCTGTCACTTTTATTCATTTTAAAAAGTACAATAGCATGGATTACATGTGCACACCTGTAATTCCAACACTCAGGAGGCTGAGACAGGAGATCACTACATATTCAAGGCCAGCCTGGGTTACAAAGTGAGCTCAAGGCTAGCCTGAATTGCACAGAGAAACCCTATCTCAAAAAGACAAAATGAATAAATAATTAAAAATAAATAAAATAAAAAATATAGATAAACCAGGAATGGTGGTACATGCCTATAATCTCAGCATTGGGTGGCTAAGGCAGGACTGTCATGAGTTTGAAGTCACCCTGCACTGCATTGCAAACTCAAGGCCAGCCTGAACTACTTGCTGAGACCCTGTCTCTAAAAAAAAAAAGTATCAATAGGACCTGTGTCACAGGTTGTGAGAATTAAGTAATGCATGCAAAGTGTTTAGCATGGTACCTGAAAGATAATAAAACCTCAAATGCTGTTATTACTCCTTTTCTTATTCTGGAGTCTATAGATACACTTTGGAAGCAAGGGAGACACAAACTGAAATTGGATACAAGATTTTTCATATCTGTATATGTAAGTACTTTTTCTTAGGAAATAGGAGGCATAATTTTTATCACACATTGAAAGAGGTCCAGACTTTTCTTCCAATACATATACACAAATCAAAGGTGCTGCCTTAAATCAAGATTACCAAAAAGCAGTCACCAAATAAGTAAAAGAAACCAGAATAGAGTATCTGAAGAATAAACTTTAAATCACGTAAGTATACATCTTTTTTTTTTTTTTTTTTTTTTGGTACTGGGGATCAAACTCATGACCTTGAGCTTGCCAAGCAGGTGCTTAATCCACTGAGCTAAATCCCCAGCCCTACATAAGTATACATCTCATGTAGAATGGAAGGAATGAATTTGAACTAAAATCAATCTAGTAATAAAATTAAGAAAATATACTGAATTTGTTATGTAATTATACTTTTCAAAGAACAGACACTGACAAACCTTCAAATACAAGGTAGCAGTATGGTAGAACAGAAGGGCAAAATTAAAGCAAAAGGAAAATGATAGCCTCCTTGGTTCATATTGCCAGTGTTTTCACCAAGAACATACGGCACAAGGGTAGACAATACGAAACCTAAAGGTACCTGTGGGTATAATTATAACTTTGAAGGAAGAAATTTTAGATGTAGCACTAATTGTTCTTCCCTAGGGAAAAAAGAACAATACATGATCCGAAGAGGCAAGTAACACAAGGCAATCTACTTGGCCTCAAAGTAATAAAAGAATGAGAAAATCAGAAGACAGCTGGCAAAGACCTGCCTACCCCGCATGAGTAGGAAAAGCATAGGGACGTCTGAGGAAGCGTGGGACACCCGACACGAAGGGCTTCCAATCAAGGAATTAGTATTTACAAGAGGAAGCAAACCAGCTTTTAGTCAAGTATGTAAAATAAACATCTATGTAATTTTAGTTTCAAGAGTTCAAGTACTACTTCCTATCAATACAAAGATCTCTGGTATAATTAAGTGAAAGAGGGAATGGAACTAATATCTACTAAGTACCAGATGGTTTAATAATTTTTTTCCTTCTTGGTATTGGGGATTGAACTCAAGGCCTCTGCACTGAGCTACATGTCACTCCAGTCCTTTTTCTTTCTTTTTTGTCTTTTTCATTTTTATCGGTACCAGGGATTGAACTCACAACCACCTGCTTGCCAGGCAGGTGCTTATGCCGCTGAGCTAAACCCCCAGCCCCTTCCTTTTTCTTTTTTTGGGACAAGGTTTAGTTAAATTACCCAGACTAGGCTTGAACTTCCTATCTTCCTTCTCAGCCTCCCACCGCACTAGAATTACAGGCGTGTGCCACCATGTCAGCATTGTTAAATAATCTTATTTAAGCCTTCACAATATTCTGTTAGAGATTACCTCTCCATTTTATAGATGAGAAACTAAGGCTTAGTTAAACTCAATCAAGGTTACCCACCTCAGAAGCAGAAGAGCTGGGACACATGCTTAGATTTTTCTGATATATATTCTCATTCATATTCTTATTCCCCCTCACCCCACCAAGGACCTTGAACTCTTGGGAATTTCTCATCTCAGCCTCCCAAGTGGTGAGATTACAGGAATGCACTACCATGCACAGCTATATTTTCCTAACTCTAGATATCACATTCTTCTCTTTCAACCTACCTTCCCAAGTTAATGTGAACAGTTACAAAAACAAACTTTGTAAAATAATTTCTATACCTGGTATTCATCTGGTGCCTTGTAAGAGGATATACAGATTCCATGATATTTGGTGAGTGACTTACTGAATTTCAAACCCTTAGTACCCTAAAGAAATAGAGAGACATTAATGATGATAAAAAACAAAAAAAAAAACCACGATTATTTAACCATATATTAACAGGCAAAATGAGGCTACTTAGATGAAGTGTGACTAGATTAGTAAGATTAAATGCTTGCAGATGCTGCTGAGGCTCTGCCTATAAATTAACATAAACATTTATTTTACTGCAAAAATCTATCAGCAAATTAATAAAAGCACAGATTTTTGCCCCCAAAATTTTGGTATCAACTTCAAATCAGTAGCTCACACAAGAGATTTTTTTACCAGAAGCCTCACAATCTTCAGAAAACCACAAATCAACAAGTGGGAAAAAATTTGGGCTGGATATTTATTGTGCATATAAGGCAACTATCAAGAAGTTTTCAATCCATGAGGAAGGAAGAGAAATACTGTATCCTCACAAACTGACTTCCACAGCTGAAATACCAATTTTCTTTCTTTTCTTTTTTTGATTCACATACATGCCCTCTATACGTACTCTCATTCATTCCCACGGTGTGCACACCCATCTATAGAAAGTAAAACTTTGGCTCTTCTAAGTTTCAAATCCAGATTGCTAAGTGACTCCTGGATAGCTTCATCTAAACATTACTAAAGCAAAATAAAGACCTCAGTGTTTTCTTTATAGTTCTGTATTTTCTAAGTCTTAGGGTTTTTAAAGTTCTGTGCATTGTTTCAATTCCAGCAAAAAGGAACTGTCTGAAGATGAAAAAAGAAACACATATAGAAGCAAAGGTCATCTGAAAGATTTTTTTTTCCCAATAAAGACGGAGGCTAAAAATACTTGGGAGAACAAAAATCTTACTGAATGTACCTTTGTAAGACTGACTAAAATCTTTCTTAGAGACATCTAGACTTCACAGGTTCAACGCCACTTCTGTGGAATACAGGTTTTAAAATGTACAGCTTTTTATAGCATTTGGTTGTCAAGAATAACAGTATTCCATCTAGTAAATCTATCCCTACAAAATACACAAAGCACAATTTTTCTTGTTAAATACTTGTTTTAAAAATCCGTATGTGTCTCTTCCTTTACATATTAAGGTAAAAACGCAGACAATGTTGATCTTTTCTTACTTTAAAACAATATACATAAGGTAGTTTATTCTGACAGCATTACACATGGAATTAAAGCTAATGAAACTAAAACCATAAAGTCATACACTTAACAAAACATATTCTCAGGTAATATCACTGTGTAGCAGATGAAAACCATCAAGTCATCCTTACCTTTTCCTTTTCTTTATTCCCCCATATAAATTCTCTTTCCATCCCACCTTATCTGACTTCACCAGATTTACTTAAAAGTCCCCATTGGTACTAGAAGACAATTTCTAAGTAAATCAGGTCAAGTTAAAAGCTTAAAGAGTGGATGATTCTTCTTCATATACAGAATAAAGGACCTTCACAATTCCACTCCGCCCATATAGTCCCACCATATCCCATATCCACGCATCCTGTGCCCAGTTACACGAAACTATTTTCAGTCGCCGCGTTCCAGGATCTGCACAAGCTGTTCCTCTTCTACGTGGATAATCTGGTAAATTCAGCCATCTAGCACTATCTAGCACTTTCATTACCTCCTCTGTGTAATCTCCCGAACACCATGGTACTGTTACTATTGCTTCTGAGCACACTCAGCACGTTCACACATCGCTGTTGACACACTAGTTCCCGGAGACTACAAGCTTTAAATATTAACTAGTTCCTCATTATACAGTATAGCAATCTGCTGCTGTGAAAAATGCAAGAGCGGAGAATCCAGGGTATCAGTCCTCAAAAATTTTCCAGTGAAAACAAACTTTTTTTTTGGTCCTTTTCGTTTTTATCGGTACCAGGGATCGAACTCACGACTGCCTGCTTGCAAGGCAGGCGCTTACGAAACTGAACTAAACCCCCAGCCCCAGTGAAAACAATCTTACATGCACATTGTTTACTACAAATATTTTTCACAAACCTCAGCGCAGTGTATCGCCACTTCCCTTGGAAGTCGCGGTCCGCTTTATTTTGCCCACTACCCTTTGAGTTCTGGCTCAGAGTTCCGGAGCCCTGGAGCCACCCCAGACCCCAGAACGTCTCCAACAACCCTCCACGGGGCCCGCTGCCGCCTCTCGGGCCCACCTGGAGCACAGAACCACACTCACAGTACCTCCGCCGAGCTGAGGTCTACTTGTTACCCCAGAACAGAGGATGGCTCCTAAGAGAGCCTTGGCCCACTCGGGCCCCGCCTCTGGGACGTTGGGGTCGCGGGAACCAAGGCGGCAAATAGCAACCTGAAAAACCAAAGCGCGCGCCTCGTTTGCTGACTGGTTAGAAATCCAGCCAATCACGGAGCAGAGGCGGTGCTGCAGGCCTCACGCAAATTTGCCGCGACGTGTCTGAGTGTCAGCCAATCAGAGCTCCGCATCACTTTCCGCACTTGACCAATCCTAACAATCTTTGGAGAAATGAGGCGGCCACTAGTGCTCCAGGATCACGATTCCTGAGATTTAAAAAAACCTCCTTTCGTCAACTGTTAAATTCCGGTGTGGGGCGGATTTTGCGCAAGCGTAATTATAAACCCCTAGCGGCCTGGCAATGAGTATAAAGCCGGAAACCGGTAGACGGTCGCTGGGTAACTAGATTTGGTTTCCTTACGAGCAGTTCCAAATTTGTCTTGACAAAAAGGGGAGGAAGTCAGATTTTTAGTTTCTTTCCTGAGGAAAATACTCTCCTACCAATAACAATGTTTTAAAAAATCCTAAACTGGCTAGCCGGGCGTGTGGTACGCGAGAGCCTATTAGTTCAAGGCCAGCGTGGGCTACATAGTGGGTTCAAGATTAGCCTGAATAGGGGCTGGGGATTTAGCTCAGCGGCATAAGCACCTGCCTTGCAAGTGTGTGGTCCTGAGTTCAATCCCTGGTACCGACAAAAAAGAAAAAGACAAAAAAAAAAGATTAGCCTGAACTGTGTAGTGAGACTTTGTCTCAAAAAAACAAAACAAGACGAATGTCCTAAACTGGCCTATGTCTCAAATGCCAGCCAGCCAGCACTGGAGGCTGAGGTAAGAGACACGAGTTCCTGGACAATGTAGGCTACCTAACAATTCAAGACCAGCCTGGAGTAGATGGCGAGACCCTGTCTCAAAAACAAAATTTTCTTTCCCGTCTAAAAGAAAAGAATGACAAATTTATAAGCTACTTAACATTTATCTCCACAACCAATAATGTATATTATGTACATATAATACCAATATAGTATTGGTATTATATTTATTTATGTATGGCATTAATACTGGTGTGGTAATGTTATTTTCTCCAAAGCTATTGTTGGTTGGGTTTTCATTTATGTTACTCAGGCTGCATGTTGTCGAGGTCTTTCTGCTTCAGCCTCACAAGTGCTATACCTAGGACTACAGCTGTCTGCCACTTGTCTGCCTCCTAATGTTGTAATGTGTTTTCTAAATGAGTTCGAAGACAACCCTCTTCCTGTTCCCCAAACCACAATCCGAAGATGCTCAAGTCCTTTATATAAAATGATGTGCTTGCATATTTCCTATATATGTCCCCCATGTATTAATATTTTAGATTACTTCTAAATGCCTATTATAACATAAATGCAATGTAAATCATTTTTCGGAAATAATGACAAAGTAGTCTGCAGTTGGTTGAACTTGGGTATAAAACATGTGGATACAGAAAGCTAGTTGTGTATGGGTCTCCTAATAGCTAAAGTGGAAGAGATAAATGTAGATCCCATAGCTAGTGCAGAGTCAGGATTCTAATTGTCTCTTACTTTGCTCAATAGTACTTGGTTTTCAGACATATATGAGTATGTCTTAAAATCTGAGCTATATGTAGACTCTCCTGTTTAGAATAACACCCACCCCTTTGAAAGAGTGAAAGCTAAGTTGATGGTATTAGCACTTGATGTGTGATGAAAATGACATTTTAGGTCTGTGATCTTCTAATAACCTGTAGTTCTATCGCATCATCGGATAGACATCAGACAAATTCTAGTAGAAAATGCTTGACCTGTACATCTCAAAACTATTAAACTCAAGCCAGGGATGGTGGCACATGCCTGTAATCCCGTAATTTGGGAGGCTGAGCCAGGAAGGTCACTGTGAGTTCAAGATCATCCTGCAGTACATAGCAAGATACTCCCATGCCCCAAGAAAGAAAAGAAAAACTGTCAGAATGCTCACTTTGCCTCTACTATATGAAGTCACAAGATGGCTATCTGTGAAAAATGAAGCAGGCCTTTAACAGATACTGAATCTTCCAGTGTCATGTTCTTAGGCTTCCGAGCCTCTAAAACTATGAGAAATTTCTGCTGTTTAAAAGCTGTTTAGAGATAGGCGTGATGCATACAGGTGTGTAATTTCAGCACTCAGGAAGCTGAAACAAAATCACTATGAGTTCTAGGCCAGCCTGGGCTGCATGGTGAGTTCAAGGCCAGCTTTAACTACATAGTAAGACCTTGTCTCAAAAAAATTAAATAGGGGCTGGGGATTTAGCTCAGCGGCATAAATACCTGCCTTTCAAGCAGGCAGTCGTGAGTTCGATAAAAAGAAAAAAAGAAAAAGTAAATAAAATATGTAAAAGCCTCTTAGAGTTGAGCATGGTGGCACATATCTGTAATACCAGCACTGTGGGAGGTTGAAGCAGGAAGACTGTAAATTCAAACTCAGGTTGGGCAATTTAGATACTTACTGAGACTCTGTCTCAAAATAAAAAAGACTGGGTATGTAGTTCAGTATGAAGATATGGGATTCAGTCCTTAGTACTGAAAAAAACAAAAGCTACTCTGCACTCTATTGTAGCAATTAAATGGATTAAAACAGTGACATGGCAATTGTTTTTCCTTATTCCTTTTCAGTAGCTGTCTATATACCTTGGTCTTTATGATTCAACCAAGTAATATTCAGTGTTATAAACTCTAGTAGAGCTGGCTAGCAAGCTGGGCCAAGAGGATTAAAGAGCTGTTGTTATCACCAGGAACAGGGAAGCTGGAACCAATTATTTTCTTCTTCCTTATTCTGTAACTTATTTACTAAATTTCTCCAAATACCCAACTTTCCCTTTCTCAGTTTACATTTCTGAGAAAACTGTGTTACTTCGTGTGTGTGTGTGTGGTACTGGGGGATGAAACTCAGAGCCTTCACACTAAACTATATACACAGAGTTTCTTTTTTAAAATTTTGAGAGAGGTTCTGGTTAAATTGTTAAATTTCCCAGGCTGGAGTTGAACTTGGAATCTTCCTATGTTAGCCTCCTAGAGTGCTGGCTGGGGTTATAGACATGTGATACCACACCTGGTTCCTGTATTACTGCCTTTTAAACACAACTTCAGCTTTGCTTTTAAGGAATATCATATTTAATGGAGGAAGCTAATCTGTCAATTTATGCAAAATTCCTTTTAGGTATTTAGCACACATTATTAGTAACTGCTCTAAAAGTATTTACTAAATTGAATTAATGTACTATCATCCTGATTTTGCAGACAAGAAAATTGTAAGTATACCAACCAACCTAAACTTGCATAGCTTTATGAGCAAAAATCCTGAAAGAGCTCCCTTCACGGGTCGGCCTGTAGTTCTACAGTATGGAACTCACTAAGCTCACCTGACAGTCACTCTCAGGAGGTTAAACATAGTACCTGATATGACACATCGGATTTTTAAAGATTACATTTCCTTTAATTAATGCTCTCAGAATCTTTGATAAAATCTTACAGCAATAACCAGGCAAATGTGAGTATAAGGAACCGTCATTTTAGAAACTCCACTAAGCATCAATTTATACAATGGGCTAAGCATTGTTGCAGAAAAGTTCACAATATAGCACATGGTTATGAAGGCCTAAATATGGTATGTAGCCTATATACTTAAGAGAGTAAATAATGCTATAATAATACATCATCATGTATTTGGTTGAATGCTGTATAAAGAGTAATCAAACAATCCCTACAAGGAACTCATAATCTAGTGTAGAGATAGCCAATACCACATAATGTTCCATGAGAATAAGGGATTCAGTGGGGGAGGGTAAAGCACAAAGGAGGTGTACCTAACCTTGACTTCAGAATTCAAAGAAAATTCCTAGAGGAGGAAACACAGACGAATCCTGAAAAATGGGTAGAACATAGCTAGCTCAAGAAGGGTGGCAATATGGGAATAGATTATTTCTAAAAGGTAGCTTTTTTGTTTTGGGTGAGGTTTTTGAGACAGAGTCTCAGTATGGAGTTCAGGCTGGCCTTGCACTCACCATGGTAGCTCACACTGATCTTGAAGTACTAGTGACTCACCTGCCTTTGTCTCCCAAGTCCTAGGATTACAGGCCTGTGCCACCATACTTGATGTCTTACTTTTTTCATTGCTGAGATCAAATACTCAATACCCAAGTTAACTAGGGAAAAATTTATTTAGCTCACAGTTTGTAGTAGTTTCAGGACATAATTGACTGGTTCCAAGGCACAGTGATACATGGCAAAGGGGCAACAGTTCATGGCAGTGCAATGCAACAGGAAAGAGGGAGACAAGCCTCTTTCTCTCATATTGTATCCAGCCTACCAGGATTAGGGCAGTGCCAGTTCAATCAGTGATTGATCCAGCAATCATCCACTCTTAATCCCAACACCAAACCATGAATCAATCACAAACTCCTGATTTATCCACCTGGGTAAAAACCCTATGACTTGCATGTGGCTTTGGGGGTATATCTAGACACAAACCACAAAATTCCATCCCTGGCCTTCCAATGACTCATGCATGTCCTTTATACAAAGACATTTAGTCTTATCTCCAAGAGTTGCCAAAATCCTAACAGTTCAGCATTGCTGAGAAGTCCAAGAACCAAGTCTATTCTGAGATGTAAGTCAAAACTCTTAGCTGTGGGCCCCTGTACAAATGAAAAGAAAATTACACACTTCCAGCATTCAACAGTACCAGATAGGCATTTTCATTCCAAAAGTTACAAATGAGATACAAAGAAATGGGACTAAATCAAGTCAAAATCCAGCAGGGCAAACATTAAGTCCATGTGAACATCCAAGGAACCTGTGGCACATGTGAATGGCAAAGTGCTTGGGTAGCTCTGTCCCTATGGCACTGCAAGTGTTTGTAGCTCCCATGGCTTCTCTTTTGGACTTGCTCTGCTCCCTCCTCAAATGGTTTTCCTCAGACAATCCGCATTCCTAGATTCTCCAAACTTCTCTGCACCTTCAGCTTCATACTCAGAGCTTCACATACTCCCCTCTCAAGGGCACACTGGCTGCTGTCTCAGGCCATTTTCTGAAATCTGCATGGAAGCCTTCCTGATCCCACACTTTTATATTTTGCATGTACCTAAAATTAGTATCACATGGAGGATGCCAAGGTTTGACACTAACTGGAGCAGTAGCCAGGCTTCCTTCTCTCTTAACTATAAGGGTGGAGTGCCTCTGGACCAAACCTGGAGGAAAAACTTCCCTAGATTTCTGCCATTCTGGAACGTGGTGCTCTGGGGCTCCCTTCTCAAAGCAAAGTCTTGCACCTTTGCAACTCTCTGGCTGCAAAGGCTGGAGTCCTGTTGGTTCTTGTGATATCCTCATGCCATGTTTTCTGTTGTCTTCTTCTGAAATATTTGGCTTTTTCTTGCTAAAAAATGCTTGACTCTTTTCAGTGACCAATTTCTCTTCTGTTAGATCTTTGCAGGTTGCAACTTCACTGTAGCTTTCTTTTTGGGCAAACTCAGAACATTTTGAATCATTCTTGATTGTGAAGCAGTGAGTGTAAAGCTGAAGTTACAATGGAGACCCCAAAAGTTTGGAGAATCCAGGAAAGTATTACTACTAGCCTTTATATCTTCATCTATAAAATGATAATACTAACTTTACAGCAATAAGAGGATTTCATAAGGTAATATTAATGTTCAGCCAACACACAACTGGTAAGACTGTACTGAGGGTTAAAATACTGAAATACTTACAAATAAGTTGGTTTATAGTGGTAGCTATTTCTCTAAACACCTCTAGTACCCTCTAGAGGTGGGTTTTTTTGGGGGGGTGTCCTAGGCTTCCTCATGATCAGCATTAGATGATGTGTGGCACAAAAAATCCTGGCACAGAAACCTCTACAGATCTTCTGGTCATTTTGATATTTTGAAAGTATATCATCCAAAAAATAAATGAGGTGCATGGCATATAGGGATATTCAATAGATATTCATCAACGTAACCTATTCATTTTATGGGTTTAGGAAGGAAATTGCCCTCCAATGGGTGAGATCCATTTATTCAGTGTGTATATACTTATTGAGGCATCATTATTATTGTACATTTAGTTACAGACATTTAAGTGGAGCTCACTGATTCTCTGGTAGCTGAGACAAATAGATACGTGGCTAAAACAAAAGGGATTATTTCAAAACAGATTAAGACTAAGGTGCTAAAAAAATAAAAGACTAAGGTGCCAAGAGGTAGACCTCTCATCATGAATAAGCAGAAAAGTAATAGGTTCCTGTATAGCATGGTTTTATCTTTCCTTTGTGTCAATGTGTCTGGCTGCATGGCATCTTTTATGCATCCTGGCTTCTGTGGCTTGACTCCACATGAGTGGTATGATAAAGCAAGTCAAATGCTATTGAAAGCCAGACTTGGCTCAGCTACCAGAGAATCAGTGAGCTTGGTGGTGGGTACCGTAATCTCAGCTACGTGGAAGGCTGAGACAGGAAGATGACATGTTCATGTACAGCCTGGGTAACATAGTGAGATCATCTCTCAAAAAGGGTAATGGTTGGGGATGTAGCTCAGTGATGGAACACTTACCTACCACTCACAACACACCCTGGATTGAAAGTCCAGTATTACAGGAGAAAAGGAAAGCTGCTTGGGGATTTTGACCTCTGGTTTATTTCCCTTCTTCGGTGTTCTTCTGTATCTGGCTGGGAGGTAGTTGAGGGAAGAAAGGTCAAAGTCTTTTTGTATCAGATGAGAGTTCTCTAAGCAGCAGAGTTCTCTAAGCTCCATGTGACTCAGCCCAGCTTACTAATGCTAAGGTTCCACTCAAGGGTTCTGGAACTTGTACTAGCTTTAAAATATGGCAGCATCCAAGTGTGGTGGTACACGCCTGTAGTTCCAGCAGTTAGTAGGCTGAGGCAGGAGGATCTCCATGAGTTTGAGGGCAGCCTCAGCTAAATAGTGAGTTCAAGGCCAACATGACCCTGTCTCAAAAAACCAAACCAAACCAAATTGACTGTAGATACTACTCTAAGAAGTAGGGCCTATGTACCTTCTCTGAGTCCGGGTTCTATACCTGGTTGAATGAAAAATGACAGAAATATTGCTGCTGCAGCTTGTGGGCCCAGGTTTTAAAAATGGAGAATTTCCATTCCTCACCTTTTGTTTATTTTTAGAACCTAGCCACCACACATTAAGAAGAAACCAAACTGCCTGTGATGTATCCGTGGTTCTGGCTGAGCAGCACAAAATTGCCAGTCGTGTGAATGAGCATCTTGGAAATAGATCCTCCAGGACCTAGTTGATGCAATCTGGGGAAAAAATGAGCTGTCCCCACGGGGCCCAGCCCAAACTGTAGGTCATCAACAAAATAAATGTTTCATGTTGTTGGAACCTATTAAATTGAGAGGGATAGTTTGTCACAAAACACAAGATAACCATAACAGGATCAAAGAGCCAACTAGAAATAAAGTATTCTTTTCCTCAGCCTTCCAGTGCTCATTCTCATCCTTCCTGGACATGACTCCCTGGGAAACCCTTAGCAAAGATGAGTATCTGAGTTTCCATATTTTTGATCTCTCTACACTGATATTTTCCTTAGTTGCTTAGCAGGAGATCAGCAAGGTACAAAACATGAAGTAGTAACTTATTATGGTCAGAGTTATGTGGGGAAACCAGAAAAATCACTGTATTTTGCTGTTATGTACTTAGACAAAGAAGTTTTGGGTCTAAACGCATAAGTAGCACGTTAGTCCTGGCTGTGTATCATGGAAGCAACAAAAACTGTCTTTGCCTCTGGCCTAAGACTTTCCAAATTGCATGCCAATAGCTTCCTAGACCCTTTCCTACAGATTCCAAATCCATAAGATCTCTCAGCTCCAATTGCTAGAGGAAATATATAAAAGTCACATAAAAGAATATGCATAAAGGAAGACACATTTGCTTTCATGTGACCTTTTTTACACTCCTGCCACCCCTTTCTTATACAACTGTTGCCCTTGTTCTCAGTTATATATGTTCTAGCTCTTTTCTCCAGCAGCTGAAGGGTTTAAAGTCTTGCGTTGCTCTTGGATTTTGCTAGTTTAGAAATGAGCAGCAAACTATAGCCTGCCAGCTATGAAGTGTTTTCACATTTTTGTTGAGATAGGGTCTTACTATGACATTCAGACTGGCCTTGAACTTTCTACATAGCCCAGGATGTACCTGAACTCAAGGCAGTCTTCCTGACTCTGATTCTGCCTCGAGAGTGCAGGGATTACAGGTGTGCACCACCATGCCCAGCCTTTCATGTCTTTATTATTTTTTAAAAAGTTATCTTGGTGCCAGGAATTGAACTTACAACTTTGTGCTTGCCAGGCAAGCACTGTACAGCTGAGCTGTATCATATATATGAGTTATACTTTTTTCACATTTTTAAGTGGATTTTTAAAAATACTATTTTAGGACAGGTGCAAATTACATGAAATTAAAAATTGTAGTGTCAGATTAAAAATTTATTGAAACATAACCATCTTTATTTAATATACTGTCTGCAGCAGGGTTTCCAATGGCAAAGTTGAAGTAGCTACCACAGCAACAGTGTGCATCACACAATCTGAAATATTGATTCTTTACATAAAAAGTTGGCAAATCTCTGGGCTAAGTACCGGTGATGTAACTTCATAAGGCTCAGGAGCAACTGGCTATCCCTTTTCTAATAAAAAATGTAAACATAGTAGGCCCCTTATACTACAGACTTTATTTTACCTATCTCCCTATTTCCAAGATTAAACAGGAAAAAAATAGAAACAACACAAGTTCAAAGATTCATAGATATTTCCTACAGTCAATGTAAATTATCAGTATCAATACAGACTTAAATGTAGGTCTTCCTATTCTTGGTTAGAAGCTTCCTGAACATTTATCTCCTCCGCTTAGCCTTGATATGTGTACTAAAGTGTGGCAATATCTTGAGCAAGGTAATCTCTTTGTTTTTATTGGTAACATGAAGAGTTCATACTGTACACGGTATTCTTTTTAATCCAGTGTGCTCTGCTGTTTACATGAGGAGATACCTAGCTCTACGGCAAATATGAGACATGGACTTAGATCTGAATTCTAGGTCCTTTTCTTACTAGCTTTATGTCCTTGGACAACTTTTGGCTTTAGGTTTCATCAGCAAAATGAGGTTACTGTTGAATGTGGTGGCACATGCCTGTAATTCCAGCACTTGGGAGGCTGAGGCAGGAGAACTACTTTGAGTCCAAGGCCAGCCTGAATGACACAGCAAAACCTTGTCTTAAAAAAAAAAGTTTACCTAACAATAACTACATCACTACCTCAGTGAGACTATAGCTATGATAAGGCTCAACAAATAAAGGACTAAAGGATTATTAATAGTAAATTATTAATAAAACTTCTTCAGCTGTGATAATCTGCAATATCCCATTCTTCCTTCCATGCTTGGAAACAAGGAGGTATTATGGAAAAGAAGGAGGTTAAGAACTGAAAGAAACAGCAAAAAGATAAGCAGAATTAAAAGGGAAAGGAAGACAGAAAAAGAGAAGTAGATGGGGAAGAGGATATTACAAATGGGAATAGAAATGGAGGAAGAAAGGTGGAGGAGGAGGAGGAGAGGGAAAGGAGGAGAAAGATGAGAAGGAAGAGGAAGAAGAAGAAGAAGAAGAAGAAGAAGAAAAAAAAACAGACTAGGAAGAAGAGCACAGAGATGAAAAGGAGGCCAGGCAATGCAGTGTGAAGGAAGAGGAAAGGAATAGTCATTAAAGGAGAGAGAGAGAACAGATACAAGCCTAGACTGCTGTCTTCTCCTGTTTGCTATCATTTACTAACCTCCTAGTCACTCTGCTCTTAACAACTTAGTCCCAATCTCAGAGTCCCTCTTCCCTGCAATAATATGTGACTTAACTTCTACTTGGAGGATACACTTAACATCCTAGCCCCTCAGTCTAACCAGGCATACATTCTTCATCTTCCATTCTTACAGTCTCACCGCACCTGGGCTTATCCTGAACCTGGGCATCGTAACTCACGACCTCTGAAATTTCAATTTTAAATAGCTCACATTTAGCCCACTAGCATCTATACTGCCAGGCACTTGCTCAATACCCTACTGCAACCATGCTCCAGTCACACCTGGGTCCTTTTCTCTGCCATTCCTGTCATCAGCCACATATGTCATGTCTTGCTTTCCTGTAATTTTGATTCCATACATATCATCATAAACATTCTTAATGGGCAGAGTGAACTGCACCTGTAATACCAGCACAAAGGAAGCTGGTATTACAAACAGGATTGAGAATTCTAGACCAGCCTGCGATACAGTGAGATCTTATCTCAAAAAACAAAACAAAATTCTCTTGCAAATACCCTCAACTGTCTTGGCCCTCTCTCTGTTGTACTTGCCAGAAAAACCCATGTTAATGAACCAAACCTACCTTCTCTCTCTGCATCTGAATAGGCAAACATCTTCAATTATTTTATTCTATTGCTGTTTGCTTGTTTGATGTTCACCTATTGAGTTGCCAAGTTGCTTGTTTGATGTTCGCCTAAGTTGCCAAGTTGCTCAGGCTGGGCTTGAAGTTACAATCCTTTTGCCTCACTCTAAGAGTGTTGGAAATCCAAGAATAAGCCATGATGCCTGGCTAAATTCAGTTATCTTAAATATATAATCTCATGTGGGCTCTTAACATTAACTGGAAGTTTTATGATTAACTTTCTTGAGAAAGTGAACTTTCTGCTCAGAAGTAATCAATTTCATACCTTCTTTCTTCAATAATCATGTTCCTTCTCTTCTTATCCTCATTTGATGCTGCCTTTTTACTGAGAAAATAAATTTATGAGATAGGGCTCTTGTCATTATCTTCCTACTTTCAACAACCTTCAAATCTTCCTGCGGCTATTACAAATAAACATTTTCCTCTTTAAAATCTTTCTGTAAAGCCATGCCTGTAATTTCAGGATTTGGGAGGCTGAGGCAAAAGGATTGCTCCAAGTTCAAGGCCAGCCTGGGCTACATGGTGAGTTTAAGACTAGCCAAAAAAAAAGACATTTGTGGTTGTCTAAGCCCCTCCATATATGCTTTAAAACACATCTGCTTTCTCTTTTCAAGAAGCTGACTCTCCTTTACTATTAAATCATTCCTAGGAATTCAGATACAAATTCTGTTATAGCACTGCTTGAGAGAGAAAAATTGCTACCATGTTGTACAGCACGGCTCCTGTCCTATTCCTAATACATTTGCCTTGACTCATTCTATTGTTTTCATTACTCATCTCCTTTCCACACCTCTTTCAATAAATTTCAAATTAAAACAATATGTGATCTGCTTTGGCCAAGATCAGTGTCAGTTTGTTGACAAAGCCGTTTATCTGTCTTTAATACGTTGTTCAGCACTACACCACAACCCCACTCCAAATCTGTCTTCCTTTTAGTGGGGCGCCACTTTCCTGTTTTTCCCCTGAAGGCCTCTGGCTCCTAATCAGGTTCTTCTTCCTTTCTCCAACATTAAAAGGTTTGTGTCCACCAAAGCTCTCAGTTCTTGGATTTTTTTCTTCTTTACAATTTACTACCATAATAGAGGGGGCAGGAAAATGGACTTAACAATTAAGTGCTTTCCACTACAGTTAGAATATGATCCTTTCTACAGCCTTTCTAGAACCAGAAAGACTGACTGACCTGCCATCAGCCCAACTCCTGGGCTCTTCATCCTCCTCCTCCCCCTTGTCACGTCCCTGGTCTCACTGGCCTTCCACGCTTTCCTCCCTTGGTGGTTACTCCGCGCAATCTTTTCCTGATCTGGCTGTTTTCTAGCCTTACATGTTGGACATTAAGCCTTTGAAAAGGCCTTTATGACTACCTTAACCAAATCATATGCTCCTGGCCTTTTCTTGGCTTAAGCCTATTAGTTAGGACCGTCACCTCCTCAAACGTAAAATCCAGCGAGCAGAGACAAAGGCCCTGGCGCTGCCGGCTGTCGCATGCCAGCCTCCGGCCCTGCTCTGGATCTACGGTGGCTCTGGACTAAGCGTTCCTAGCCCAACGTCAAGGGCTGCGGCCCCCAAGGATGGCGCGGAAACGGGAAGGGAACGGATCCGGCCTGAAGAGCTTAAGCGGAAGCAGGCGCTAGCGTACACGCGCGGCGGGGGCCCCGCCCCTTCCGGCCGCGGCCGTCGCGGGCTGCTAGGCGGCGGGGCCCGGCGCCCGCTCGGCCCGCCCCTTTCCCCGCCGCTGTCAGAGACGCGGTGTATGCTTAGCCGCTGCTGCCGCCAGCTGCTGCAAGTCCTGGGCCCGAGTTCCCCGCTGCTGACCTGTCAGACGCTTCTCTGTGTTTCTCGCCTCATGAAGCCGCTGGTCGTGTTCGTCCTCGGCGGTCCTGGTGCCGGCAAGGGGACCCAATGCGCCCGAATCGTGGAGGTGAGGCCGGGCGGCGATGGGCTGCTAAGCTGGTCGGGGCGCGGTCGGTCCGCGCCCCCAACCCGGCCGCGGACTACGTGTCCCGGCGTCCACCGCGCCGCCCGTGGCAGAGGCCGAGGGGCGACGGCGCACTGCGTCTCGGGGCGCGGAGCCCGCGGCCACCTCCGCAGGGGACCACTAAGGGTTGCTTTGTTACTTCGACACCTCTTCGAATCGTTCTGGGGACTAGATGCAACGAAGGGCTGGGAGACGGGCTTGGGACGCCAGCCTCGGGGTCCCGCGCGCGGAGATCAGTGCAGCCAGTGGCGTGGAGGGTCATGACAGAGGCGTCCAGATTTCGGCTTGACGTCGTGTACAGCTGCTTGAGACACTGGTTTTATCTCCCCGCACAGCCTAAACTCCCGGCCCACGGCTGACCCAAGTGTACCTTGGAAAGCTTCCCCTAGGGGCAGGGCGTGACTTTCATAGAGCTCTCTGCCGGGTCCACACAAGCCTCGAGGCCGGATGTGCGTAAGGCTCTGCCTAGTGGTTGGTGTCCTAAAACCCCAGCTTCAACCTTTGGCTCCGCTGCCAACTCACGCTTTGTCCTTAGACCAGTCACTTCCTCTCTCTGAGCCAATGATGTCCCTTCCAAAAGGAAAAAAAAAAAAAAAAAAGCCCTGCACCCAGGTTGACAGTATCCAACACTTCTTAATTTTAAATCTTTTTATTTTTTTGTAAGGTGTGGTGAGTTTACTAGTTGTACTAACAGCTTTCCATCTAGGCTGACCCATACGTGGTTAGCCGCAGTGTTGCTGTGAGGAAGGCTTAATGGGGAAAGTTTGGAAGATTAGGAAAATAAGGCACCTGTAAACTGGAGAGACGGCCAGTGGTCTAAAACAACCAGAGAATACTGAGAAACACGGTGATTAACAGATTTTGTCGCTGCCCTGGAGTGGTGTATACCTGTAATCCCAGCTCTGTTGTATGCACAGCCAGGAGGATCACAAGTCTGAGCCCAGCCTGGACGAGTTAGCCATTGAGAGATACACTGACTCAAAAAATTAAATAAATGAGTGGCTGGGGATGTAGCTCCATGGTACAGGGAAAAAGAAAAGAGGAAATTGGTGGGGGGAGTTGGCTTGGAACTAGAACTAAAATAATTTTGTCCTTTGCCATGATTATGGCCAGTATTCACTTCGGGATTTTATTTCTCTCCTATGTTCATTCAACAGTCCTTGACCGATATTTTATCCTTGAAAGAGAATCCAAAAAAAGTAGAATGTGTTCCAAGAGTTATTATGTATTTTACTATTGTATTTATAATTAGTGATCATTTTCACCAGTTCACCAGTTCACCTCCAAGGTACATACCGTCTTTCTCCCTTTTTTTTATCTTTCTCATTTTAATTTAAAAAAAATTTTTTCCGTTTTAAAAGACAAGTGAGGAGATAATTTCATGGTTTTTGTTTGCTTATTTATTTGTTTATTTATTTTGGTCTTTTTTCGAGGTAAGGGTTTCACTATATGGTTCAAGCTGATCTTGAACTCACTTTGTAGATCTTAAACTCCAAGCGATCCTCTTGCTTCAGCCTCTTATCTCAGCCTCTTGAGCGCTGGGATCACAGGAATGTGTCACTGCTCCCCCACTTAAAGTTTCTTCCTTTTTTTTTTTTTTTTTTTTTGGTATCAAGAGTCGAACTCAGGACTTTGTGTTTGCCAGACAGGCGTTTCCCCTACATTTTTTTTGTTTGTTTTATATATGGAATAACTTACATGAAGAGCATGCTAGGGGAAGGAGTAAAGGCTTTAGAGTTAAAGAAAGTGTGTTCGAATTCTGACTCTTGTCATTACTGTTGCTCTGGCCCTAAAGAAGTTACTTTTTGCTTAGTTCCTTTGTAAAAAGTAGAAAATAAAAATACCTATTTTAGCTGTTAATAGTGTGGTGCAACCTGCCTCAGCACTGGAGAGGCTGAGGCAGGATTACTGTGAGTTTGAAGCTAGCCTGGGCTTCATAGTGAGTTCAAGATGAGCCTTAACTACATATAGTATCAAGATCCTGTTTTAAAAAACTGGTCTTTTAAGAATTTTTTAAAATTTTTATTTATTTGTTTTGTTTTGAGACATGGTTTCCCCATGTAGTTGAGACTGGCCTTGAACTCTATGTGCTCCTTATCCTTCAGCCTCCTGATTGTTGAGATTACAGGCATGTACCACATCCAGCTCTTATTTTCTGATTCTAAAGCTATACTAATTTGCTTTAAAAATAAGCTATTTTTCTGAAGCACTCCAATACTTTATTAGAATGATGTATTGAGAGTGGAAATATTGTAAAATGATGTATTTCTTTTAAACAATTGGGATGTGTATTTTTGAATTAATGTTTAAAAGTAAGCATTAGGTATTTGTATTTATTGTTTTGGCCTAGGAGAAATTACATTACTGTAACCTAATCTTTGAAAATAACCACTACAGTTTTGCAAGTGTTAGTTGGAAGGAATAGTTAAGCCTTGTCTTTTACAGTTTGTGAACATGTTTGCTTCCATAAACAAATTATGGCTAAGCTGATATCTATGCCAGAAAGCATACTGATTATCTGTGTCAGAACTTCCTCCTAAACCTTTGGTAACTCATATTTTGGTGGTGGTACTGGGCATTGAATTCAGGGCCTTATGCATGTTAGGCAAACGCTGTACCACTGAGCTACATCTTCAGACCAGATAATTCATACTTTGTTTGACAATCCTACTTAGGATACTTAGAAAAAGTTTTGGTTGGTATCTGATTTTAAGCATAGAGAAATAAGAAACTTGATTTTATTTATCTTTGTACATCCATTATTGAACATTGTGCCTGTCTCAGGTAATTAGTAAGTTTTCATTGCATGAATATTGATTAAAAAAATGAATATAATCCTGGAGGTGTATAAATTTTTTAAAAATTGGTCCCTAGGGGGCATCCAAGTAGCAGTTAGCTCTCAATTTCTGGACCAGAAGTATGAATGAGACCTGCCCGCCTTTCTCAGGCTTCTCATATAACACTTATGTTTTCTCTCAGTGAATTAATGGTGTGTTGAGCAGATTGTCTCTCAAAACAGATTAGCACTCAAAAACAAGATGTGAAAAAGCTATTGGATGTTTATCTGTAAAGTAGATGGTCCACAGCTCCTCCACTCTTGTGAAGCCTCACAGTTCTATCGAGTGCTTATAATATGGGATTTTTATGTTATGAACTTGGAGGAGGAGAGAGTACTCTATATACTGTTTTTCTTTTTGAAAACTTTCATTTTCTCCTTTCCATTTTGAGTTACAAAAATAATACAAATGACTGGAAAAAAGTAATATACAACTTTTGGGAAAAGTTATTCTAATCCTGAGCTCCCCAGTATTAATTACTTGCCTCATCTCCTTCTCAGTTTTTTTTTTTCCTTCATTTTTGAGACAGGGTCATGCTATGTAGTTCAGGCTGGAGTTGAACTCACTTTGTAGCCTAGACTGACCTCAAACCTATCGCAGTCCTCTACTTCAGCTTCCCAGGTTCTGGGATTGCTAGTGTGTGCCACTATGCCCAGCTCTAGATAGTCTTTTACTTTCCTTTTTCTTTTTTTAAAAAAAATTAGTTCTTAATATTCTCATAAACAAATTCTTTTACCACTACAAGGAATTATTTTTCTAAATATATCATGGATCTCTCAGATCTTTACTTGTAAATTTAATTTATTTTTATTTATTTCTGCTGAATATTGTGGATATTACCATGGCATGATGGTAAATCCAGGGTTGCTAATTGCTTTTGATGGATATTTAAGACAGTTTGGGGAGGTTATTTTGCTATTATAAATAGCACTTCAATAAATTTCCCTATATCACTGGGAAGCTGAGTCCAGATGCTTTGAGGCTATCTGCTCACATTCTATCTTACCTTCTTTATGTTTCAATGAAAGAATTCAGATACATTCAAGATACACAGGATACACAATTCAAGATACACAGGTGGCCTTGCAGAATAAGCACTTCATTGTAAAGCTGACATAGAGGGATGCCCTCCTTCAGAGAAGGTGGGTATTGCCATATATTGCATTCAACACGAGTTGGACATCTTTTTATATATGCCAGTTAGTCCTGGGGCTCAGAGAACTATGATAATTATGATGCTTACTGACATTATTCTCAGAAGTTACTTTGGAATTGCAAGTTGTCTAACTTGTTTTTTTTTTTTTTCAGATGGGCAGTGTTCCCTCAGTGGTCTTATTCATGTAAGAAATTTATAATTAAGGAAAAAAGTACTAATTAAATCAGATCTTATTCTAGTGTAGGTTGGACTTTAAAGAAGGTTTCTCTTTCTCATATCCTTGGACTTTAGGCTATGGGAACCAAGTATGCTGTGTGCCTTGTTCTGGGAATGTCACTGTACTCTGTGAAATCAATTTGGATGTGAGACCTAATTAACTATTAAATATTGAGGTCATTATTTCTTTTTTTCTCTGTAGCTGGCAAAGCATGCTATTTTGAACCCCATTGGTCCTGCTGCCTGCTAGTGTCTGTCTAACACTTGTAAATGTAACTTTGTGCAGTGGTACCTTGAAATAGACCATTAATTGGTTGAGGAAGGTATGTTGACTACCAAAGGTGACAAGTACCAAACAAACAATTTTAGCTGGAAAGGGTAGCAAGTCATGAGGCAATGACAACATCAAGTTCTAGTTTCCTGACTACTACCAAACAAATGACAAGTCCTACACAAAGTTTCTACACCAAATGCACCAAGTACCAAATCCAAAAAGTTTTAAAGTAGTCAAGTACCAAGGTATGACTGTACATGGATGCTTTTATTTTGTATGTAAAGTTCCTAAAAATGGGTTGCTGGAGCAGAGATTATGTACATTTTTTATTTTAACTGGTAATCATCCAGTTACTTCTGAAAAATGTATTAGGATTCTTGAGGGTAACAAAAATATTAAGAGATAGATACAGATCTAGATAATAAAAGGGGATTTATTTTGAGGATACACTCATATAATT